GGTGGCATTCGCCAGTGTATGACCCTTAGGGACTCTCACGTTCAAGACGTAACGGCGAAAGAGGGAAACTTTCAAAAATCTAAAGGCTCCATCTCTAGTCTCATTATCCGTCTGAGCGTTTTCAACGGGAATCCCCCAACGAGCAAGAATACAGAGCATTCTTTGAGCTTTTGTTTCAGTTTCTGTTGTGTTCCACCTCTTTTATTTGAAACGAGGTAGATAAAGGAAAAAATGTAAATATTCGAAAATTTTCATTATTTTACCTTCTTTCAAATCATTATAGTCAATAACTATTTCAATTAAACTACTCAAGATATTTTTTTTTTTTTTTAATATAAATCACACGATAATTAGGATAATTTTTTGTTTTAATGCACGCAAATATTTTCTAAACTTTCCCCAGTTATTTTATATAAAATATTAATATAATCTTTGACCTTAATTATGCAATTATAGTGATTATGAATTTTAAATTGTTGTTAAAAATATAAAATATTTCAACTAAACATCATTTCAGTTAACATCTATTAACCAACTAATACCTATTATTATTTTCTAAGGTAAAATGTTATACATTTTTTTACACTAAAAAAATATAAAATATTTAAGACAGATAAATGTTTATTATATATCCTTTGAAAGAAAACTAATTTTCGTTCACAAAAGATAAATCATTGACGTAATTTTTTATTTCGAAAATTTATGATTTTTTTATGATAATGAACTATAGCACAACTTTGCACACATATAACTTGACCTCTCGAGTGTCCTTGTACCTGACCGAAGGCATACCTATAAACTGGGCAAATGCAAAGTTAAATGAAAGAAAAACGGAGTAAGTAAAAGAAAAAAACGCCAATTTTTTCTCTGCTTTTTACTTTACTTGAGTTGTCGCCCGTGGCCAACAATCCATTGTTTAAGCCCAGGGCACTCTTCCCCTATTGGGATTAAGTGGCAAACCCCCTTCAATATGGAGAGGGATGAAAAATATTCAAAAGAAAGAGAGAAAGATGTATTGAAATTATTTACATATCGAAAACTCTCAGTGTGTACTTCATCATATCACATTTTTTTCCCTCACTTTTTTATTTGTATTTATTCGATATTCTAATTTAATATTTTTTAGTACTCCTATTTTCATAACTACGAAGGATGTTGGAGATGCTTCATTAGCTGTGAATGCTTTATTAATAAAAAAAATAATAATAATAATAATAAAATTGTATCATGTCAATGATGTAAGTTCATTAAGCGTGTATCAATGAAAAAATCAATAACAGTATTTTTAACTACAAAGAGAAGAGAAGATTGAATTTATAAACTGACGCATGTTCAATTGTGCTAGTATAATAACACATATGCACGAGAGAAACCATCAATAATCGATTTTTTGATTTCATATGTGTTGTAAGTGCATTAAAGGAATTAATGTGAAAAAAGATATAAAATGATTGGAAGAGCAATTGATTAAATAATAATAATGATAGTTTTTGAGTGTAATATTTTAGTAATGTATATTCTTAGTGACATTAATGACAGAAGCGAGATATAATTGGACTAGTTGAGAACCCCGGAATTCCGAGGGATAGACAAGCACGCAAGGTAGCGTGTTACACACCGTAACTCCTCCCTTACCTTCTACTTTAGCAACCCCACGTGAGACACGCCAGCGCCGCCACTGCTGCCTCACTCACACCCCAAGATCTCTCATTATAATAGAGAAAAAAAAATCTACAAGCGCTGTTACCATATATAAATATACTAAGTACTCTTATACCGCGACCTCGTGATAAATAATCTCACATACACCTTTATATATTAATAATATACTGGGGTACTGTAAGCAGTTTGGCAAGAAAAATAATAAGAATGTCAAACTAATATCAGTATATTGACAGAATCATTTTTTTCCCTCGTTATTTAGTCATTTTTATTCGAGGGGGTTGTGATTAATATTATTAAGAAGAGTCAATATATATATCCTGTCTGTAGAAGTCAGATAAAGAATGATAGAAATAATTGATTATAAGAAATTTAAATTTAAAAAAAAAAAAAAAATAACATCAATTAGAATGTCAATGTTTTAAAAATAAAATGAACAAATATGTTAAAAAACATGTCGACTAAAGCTACATACTTGGTCACGACTACATCATTTGTTTTATATTTTATGCTCGTCCGTTTGTCAGCGAGATTCAAACATAAAAGAGAATGACGAAGATGTAAAAATGTAAAGAAGAAAAGGAATACAAAAATTAAAGAGTAAGTCAAGCCGAAAGAAGGGAGGAAAATGAAAGGTGGTAAAAAGTTGGAAAGAGTACTTTCTAGCCTAGATTTGACTTTGTGGATGATTCAAATTTTAATTACAACTTGACTAAGCTTTTACAATACTAAAATAAATTATATTTGACTATATATCCCTTGATTATTCATTTTCTAATTACTTCAATTATCGGTTATGAATTACAATCAATTGAATTATTAATAATATTCAAACCCTATCCTCTATTAATTGAACTTTCTTTTCAATGAAAAAAAAAAATAGCAATTTAAAATAATGCAAAAAATAATTTTAATTATTGACATACACAGTGCCTTTATTTTAGAGAGAACATTGAAGAAATAACTTGATAGAAAATAAAAAAGAAATCTTGTTTCTAACATCTCCGGGGAAATCGAGCGGTCAAATTAGGCTGGCAGCCTCTTGGCAAAGGTGAATTAGATGGTTAAAGAGAAAATTAAAAAAAAAACCCTTTGTAAAAATGCATGCACATTGGTTTGTTCTTACGCAATAGTTTTTTAATTGAATCTTTTATCGAATATCGGAAATGGTTGTTTCAAAAGAGAGGCCTTTTAAATTATCGATATTTTTATATACTTATTTGGTTAAATAACATTTACTGTCATTATTTGTTTTATTGAGCTTGTCGTACATTGAAATTAATAGCATGTCTGATGCGACAAACGATTCTTGTAAAACGAAGACACATTGGCGATGACCTTCATGTACATTGTGTCATGATAGTCAAGTACCAAACTTGTCAAGTCGAATGTTTTAAATATTTATATCAAGTATCTGTGAATCACAAAGCCATTTATTTTTTTGAAAATAAATAGACATTTTAGCTTGAATCTTATTGATAATATCACAATCAATTATCACAATGTTATAATTTAAATAATGAATTGGATGTCAACATGTGATGATGATATTAATTTTAGGCCATTTCATATTTCTTACTTTGAAGAACGAGAGCAAGAAATTTTGCCATTCCACTTAGTTACGTAAAGCTGAACTAAAAATAATCTAGCGAATGAGTGACAGGTTTCACCTTAACTGACAAGAGACACATAATGCCAAGTAAGTTATAGGAGTTCCATTCGTCAAAAGGTACCGAGGTATTTATTGGGAAAAATTTCTCGTCTCGATACAACGTATGTACATAAGCTATTTCCTACACAGGAGTAATATTTATAGTAATTTTTAATTTCTGAGTGAAATAAATGCTTGAGAAAATTGAATTGAATAGTCGATTACTAATATTAATTTATAGACTTCAATACATAACTTGGTCTATAATATTACCAATTCACAATACTACGGCAATTTATGCTTCATAATAGCCTTCATATAGTACAAAAGAAGCCTTAAGAAAAAAATATTTCAACCATTACTAAAATATGAGGACGAATCTAGACAACTTGAGCATTAAGGCGTGATTTTGCGTTGAGATTTCTTGACCGGAAATTTAAGACTGTAGAAGGGAGGAATTTCTTGGAGCATGGGAGAGAAGTTTACATGCTAGTTGTCTTGGTACAGATTTTCATCGTTGAAAGTCATTGCACTTTATGCTGAATGGGCAACGAGTCAACAACCTGAATCGTCTTATGTGTATTCGAACCTGCGTGTGTTAGCTTCTTCCTTTCGAGTATATATTCCTTATAGCGTTTTATATACAGAAAACCAAGTGCAACGAGACAGGAATAAACTAGAGAAAGATGAGGGAGTGAAAAAAATGACTTTATGCACTGCTGAACACGAGCCACGAAGAAATAATGCGATCACAGGACTTATCCTTTTATATTTTACCTACGTAACCCCAGTTTAATTGTGTAAAATAATTTTCCATTTTTTTTTTTACAAATGTCTTGTTTTCTAGATAATATATGTTATGTATGTGAATACCAATAATATCGAACAAAGTAATTTTTTTAGACCGTGAACAATTATTCGTAAACATTCATTATATAAATATGTATAATTCATTTTTTTCTATCTTTCATTCATCAACAAAACTTATTAAAAAGTAACAAATGTAAATAATTATTCAACATCTATTAAAAATGGTCTATGTTATACAAATAAAAATTTCATAAAGAAAAGCTTTAATACTGGTTTAATTTCATTAATATTGAACTTGTCCCTAATTATATTTTCCAAATTTATAATGTATTAGGTGAAAATGAAGTTGTCCGAAGTAATGCTTTTACACACAGTTTCGTAGCTGGTCTTTTGAATTAACAATAACTTAATCATCATCCTTCACCATGCATTAATAACTGAGTTGACTTTAAGACCGTTGATAGCCAAACTGAATTCAAAATTTTCATTCGACATAGAATTTAGGATAAATACATAACTTATAATTCAATCAATTCAATAATTAAAATTGAAAACGTAAAGTTTTTGAATTTTAGTGTAATCGTTTACAGTACATTGTGCATTTTTAGCTCGGATTTATTTTACGTCGAACATTGAAAGTGGGTAGCAGACTGTCAGTAAATGATTTATGTACATCTGCCAACGGTCAGACATGTTAAAACTATCGCATCGTTAGTGTTTAAAACCGTCCAATATATAACGAGAGTTCAAACATATGATTCACAGAATAAAAATATTGAGAAAGTATTAAATTTAACTTTATGAGTATTTTGTAGGTTTTTTTTTCATTGCTAAAGAATAAAGTGTTCATTATTTCAAAAACAAATTCTTGACTTACTTGAACATCAAAATGAGTTGTTGTATCTTGTGGTTGAGGAGGACCCTGTTGTTGTTGCTGTTGAGTAGGGGGAGGACCCTGTGGTGGTAACGGTCCTTGTGCTCCAAATAATTGAGCTGCATGTGAATGTGGATGTTGCAAATGATGAGTTGGTGGATGATGCTGAAGGTGATGTGGTGCTGGAGCAAATGCTGCCATAAAATGCTCTTCGTTTCCAACAACATCAACTCCTGGTTTCAATAATACTACTCCACCGCCAGTACTAACTGCCAAAGTAGCAGCAGCATTTTTTTGAAATTCTTCTTCTCCAGGAGAAGGTTGTCTACTTCCAGGAGTGCGACTAAAGAAATTGAAATGTCATTATTATTAAAAACAAACGAAATTATTTAATAGAAAATTGTATTTATCCGTTGATGTTAGTTGATAGATTTCAAAACCCACAGCGACATCTTGTGTTCGATCGTCGATAAATAAAGGGAACTATCTTATAGACTTGAGAAAATATGTTTACCCCACTAATGTTATCTACTATAGAGTTTCATTTTTGAGTTATTGAATTTGTATTTTTATAATAACTTAATATAACTGAATAAACTATTATTTATTGACATTTTATGCAAAGCAGTAGTCCAATATTGATAACTTACTTAAATCCTTTATCATCATCAAGACCATTTTGGGAAACCAGACCGTTGCCTTGAGGGCCAGTATCATCCTTCGAATTATCAAAAGGGCTTGTTGACCCTTTATCCTTTTCTTTTTTATCACTGTCTGCATTCTAAAATATGAAAATTTTTATTAACATTACGTTTGAAAAAACAGTTTCTTTAAATAAAAAGAAAAAAAAAAAGAAAAAAAAAACATTTCCTTACCAATCTGAGAGCACTCATACGAGGTTCCAGATCTTTTGGAGTGGTTGGACTGGAACCAAGTACATATTCAACCATTTTGACACCAAGGCCACCAGTTTCACTGTAATAGAATAATCGTTTATTCATAGCTGTATAATAAATCATCTTTTTGGGTATAAAATTTTTTTTTTTTCATCAATTATAACCTGCTACGAGGACTTAGTACTGCTCCAACTTCAGAAGTCTGATGGTAACCGGTTCCAACACTAACTCTTCTCCCGGTGGCCATTGAAATTGGTTGTGATACTGCATGATCTAGAAATAATTAAATAAAATTAAAAATTACTTTATATTAATTAAAAATAAATTAATAATTTAAGGGAATTCATTTATTAATGGGTGTTTTAATAGGTGATATTTAATTTTCATTTGTCGTGTTTTCTTTTTCATTTTATGCTAAAATGACTCTCAAAGAATTTTTTGCTTTACATGCATAATTATGGAGTAATTAAAGGAGGTAGTTCAAAATGAGTACACCCAAGGGTTGATGAGTAGATACGATCCTGGACATTGGGACGTTGCTCCCACCAGTCCACCGATGCCAGGCGTCTGTCGCCATAGCAACAGCCGCTTTGCACCCATCATATTATACATATAAAAATTATTTCAATGTCTGTGTATGACGTTTATTTATTTATTTCTCTCTATTGCTATTTTATTTTTTTAGCTAATTATTTAAGACAAATATTTCTTTATTTGTCATTATAAAACGTATATTTTTGTTGGTAATTATAATTAATTTGCATTTGCCCCTCAAGGTGTGTGAAAGTACACACGTATTGTTCTGAACTAAGATTAATTTCGAATAATTTTATACCTGGAGTACTCCAAGTGGAATCGCGCCACATTTGATGATCACCAAGGTGAAGTATCCCACCACCTTTAACACCACCATCATCCTTGGAGCCACCTTCGTCAACGCCCCAAAGCTTTTTTGCCGAGGGTGCGATCTGTAACAAGAATTACATGAATTTTTTAATACATCAAAAAATATGCTTAAGTGATTTAAAAATTGATCAGTAAAATCTATTTTAATTAATCCTGGATATTGATTGAAATATAAACTGCGCACAGGTATCAAATAACATCCAATTATAAGGGAATTCTATTAATCAACATTTGTCAGTAAAAATAATAGTATAATGAAATAATACTACTTTTAAAAAACCTGATAAATATCTTTATTTATATATTTTATCCAATTTATATAATTAATTAAACGACTTATCAAATAATTAATTATTTGATTATATTTATTTATATAAATAGTATTTCAATTCAGAATTCTTCGATTTAAAATGAAATATTTACGAAGAAGTTTATTTCAATTTTTGTCTAAACATAAAATAAATAGATCCTTTCAAAAAGTATATGACATGAATTAAGGATCGTCAATAGACAGAGAGAGTTAATGAATTTTGTTGATAATGGCATTGTATTTTTGAATGTACATTGACATCGCAAAGATCTTGTCTTTTAGAAACCTCGAACTTTCAACCCTCCAACCTATTGCTACCACCATCTACCCTACTGTCGTTATTTCCTTCACTAGTTCAACGAACTTTTAATCTACGTCTGCGCGTACTTCACCAATAGCTACAATTTATTTTCTGTTTATCAAACTACATTTGTTGATAAACAAATTTTTTATCTCCAAAATAAAAAAGATGTTAACAAAACATTATATCTATACCAAAAAATATAATAGGTTTAATTTCAAGACTCGCGATTTTAACTTTCATGTTTTGTATTGAAAAAAGTCAATCTTAGAAGATGAAAAATATGTTCCACGTGATCTAAGGTCATCAAGAAGAGAAGGGAGTTGATTCTGTTAGTAAGGTATAGGATCGTTACAACGAGAAGAAGGTTAAATAAGAAGGGGAAAAAGGAAAATTCGAGAAAATTCGGATACGATTATTGGATCTTCGTGAAAGACACCTTCAATAATTTGAAGAAGTTATTGCATAACAACAAAAAATCAAAATGAAGTATATCAACATATTGATCTCATGAAAAAATTTAAAATACAAATAAATCTATTGATTAATTATTCTAGATTGAATAATTCAATATCGTATAAGTCAATATATTAATATTTTATGAACTATATTATTATGAATACTGAAAGTATGGCATCGTATTGTTATCATAATGACTATTATAAGTTAAAAATAAGTATATATAAAATATTAAAGGTAGATTTAGGATAGTGGACACACTTATCGACCGTGTCAAAAGCATTTATAAGCATTGGTGTGCCACTTAGTCTCAGATAACGATGGTAGTGTATGAGAGTAAGACAAAATGAGAGAAATGAGAGTACTATACACATTTGAAAGTGTTGTATGAAGTCACCGTGCTGCGGTAGCTATTACCCCACACGGAGTTATAGGGAGAGCCGAGAGGATACGATTCTCCTACCATTCACTTACGAACATTACCGAACAACTATTATCTATCTCTCTTTATTTTTTTTCCTCTGCTCTTTCTCACCGGCCGTTCTATTCGCGAAACTGTCGCTCTTGCTACATGGGGCCACCGACCCCTTCTCCTCGACGAGCCCCACGTACAGGTCACGGCCACTGTCCTCACAACTTGTGATTCCCAATCATTTTTGAGACCGGAACAAAGTTAGATGGCAATATGATGGTGAAAAGACATTAAAATTGGAAACGATAAAAATATCGATTAATTTCGCACGGAAATGCAAATCATTTGTTTTCCTTCTTCTCCTCCGAACCTTTATTGTGTTATTGACTCATTTCTTTCAAATGTACATACAATATATCGATTTTCTATTAAATACTCATTGTTATTTTTCTTTAAAAGAAATAATGGAATTTTTCGATTAACAATTGTGCAATGAATCTTGGAAGATTGACATTAATGTGAATAAAATAATCAATAATTATTTCATAGAAAAAATAATAAAAAATCAACTGAAGGAGAATTATTTCACGCACAATTTTCATCACATGCGCATTAGAATTAGAAATAATTCAATTATAACCTGATAGATGTGACAAGAGACCATAGTAGAAAATAAATAAAAAAAGAGGTGAAAAAAAGAACAATCAAATTTAGTGAATTTTGTTTAACAAAGTTTTCGGTTGTCTTGACAACGTAAATACGTTATCAATAAAATCTAAATGTAATGGATAAAATACAACAATTGCGTACATATTTACTAATAAATATGGTATAATAATCAATTGCATTAAATCTACAAGTTTTAAAGCTTGAAAATTGGGATTTGTTTTTATCTAAAATTGATCATTTTTTTAATAAATATAAACTATAATTAATCTTCTGTTATAATTATCAATTCTGGATAAAATACTTTTCCATGTAGCTATGATTATTGTCCAATGCATTATGATAATAAATTATGTGACTTGTTGCACGTACGTAACCAATGATAATAATTTTTTGTACGACTACAATGTAAACTATCTATATACATATATAATAAAAAAAGAAATAAGCACTCATTCTTTTATTATGTATTTCATAACATTTGAAAGTGCCTTAATTAGATGTTCATTAGTTTTAGAAACAATAATATCATGAATATTCTTTTAAAATACTTTTAACGATTGTAATTAGTAAACGTAATATCAATTAATTAATTTTTTTAAAAGAAATTTTACCAAATAAAACGAAAATAAAAATTAATTTTTATTCAATGTGGTAGATGATTGTAGCCAAGAACCTCTTCAAAGTTCTAACAAACTCGTTTACAAGTGCAAGATTATACCCACCAGGTGAACGCACCCCTTCAAGGCAACATTATAAATATTTTACTAATATTTTATCCTTTTAATTATATAATGATATTATTAATCATTAAAATGTACTGTACTCTTTGAATTTTATTTTATTAAATAATAATTCCATCACATTTCATGGATGAGAAAAAAAAATATCAACCATTAGAATCATTCGTTAAATAAAAATTGATATCGACTGAATAAACTTGGGTTTTTTTTATGTATTAAATGTATTCAATTTATTCTAAAAAGCTATAATTATTACTATCTGTACAACATTAGATCCTTTTGCGATTATCTAGTGAAAGAATGCTTTCTTCGTTGTTTATTTTTGAACCCCAGTAAGGGTTTTATTACACTCATAGCAAAGGAAATGTTGGGAAAGACAAACATCGTCATAAAAGATCAACTATTCATCAAGAATTATATTAACTTTTATTACTGAAAAATCACTTGAGTAAAGCCATTTTTTTTAAATCAAGGGTAGAAACATGATAAAATAAGTCAAACCAGATGGTAAATAATAGATTTTTAGTGCATATACATATGGAAGTTTTTTTTTCATATGTTGTTTTGAATGTAGAAACTTGAATCTTTCAATCTGTATGAATGGATCATGTTAAAATTTCCCAAGATTTAAAGAGCTTAAAAGCCCCATTTTTTTTTGTAAAATCTTCTGCAAAACGTTCGTTTGGATTTTAGTTTTTAACTTCATTTTGGTATTACGTTTTAGATTTCAACTAAAAAAAATTTTTTCATATTGCAAACAAGCAAAGTTTACTGACATATCAAATAACTTTTATATTTTTTTATCATAATACTATTTGTCTAAGAAGTTTTCTTTCTAAATGAAAGAATTTTAGTGTATCAGTAATCTCTTTTATCATAATAAATTTTTATAAATATAAATATAATAAATTATATTCATAAAAGTTATTAGATAAACATTGATTATAAATGGTTGTACGCAGAAGAAAACGGCAGTAGGGTAAATAAATAACTTATCCAACAAATAAGAACTCAATAATTTAACATAGTAAATCGATATTCGACATAATCAATAGAGATATTTCTGAACTTGAGTGGAATTTATCATTTATGGATGCACACGCACGTTAGCTCACTGGCAAGGAAAAATGAAATCACATCAGATTATGTAATTAGATAAAGTAGAAAATAAATAAATAAAATAAAATGATTTGACAATTATAGTTTAAAAGGGCATACCAGTAATGTAATGGCTTTTATTTTGTTTCAATATGTCTAAGAATAAGACGAATAAATTCATGGTCATTTACTACCGAGTAAGGTCAGTCCTCTACTCATAGGGAGAGATGTCGAATGAGTCATTTTGATCGATATTTTCGTCCCACATCATTTACTGTCATGTGAATCATACATGTTGATAACATGTATCTCACCTGTTTCTATTTGATATAAAATCCTAGATTACATCAGGATATTCATTAGCAAATTTTACATTCAAATATAAAAGCTAACAATCTTGATAATTTCTACTATATTTAAATGAATGAAAATTGTCAGATGCTTCTCAAACATTAATTTGTATCATAAAATAATGAAGAAATTAAATGTTTATGTATGACTATAAATAAAACAAAAATTTTAATTTTCTTTTAGTAGAATGATGAAATGTTTTAAAGTTATATGAAGAGTAGGATGATACAAATGTATATAGCCTTGCCGAAATCCTTCTAATCGTTATTAGAAAGTTATAGAAGAATGAAGAGTACATATAAAATCGCAATATGTCTCTAGCTAAATACTATAAATTTTTCTATCCCTGAGGATCAATAACGATGTGAAGAGATAATAAATAAATAGTTAGAAATAAATAAAAATTTACATATGTTGATACATATAAATATATATGTAGATAAATGTGCACAATTGTAAATGGAGAATGTTTTAATACACAAGAAGAAGTGAATATAAGCAAGCATATAACGAAAACGAATCCGAACGTGCGTTGGATGGTTGCGGCATCAAAATGATATTCCTTTTCCCCACCAAAATATTTTTTGTGACGTTACAAAAAAAAGACTGACAAATACTGAAATTCTCTAGAAATTCAATCAACCAAGTTCGAAGTAAAATTCGGATATAAATAAACGCATAGAATAGAAAATTTTAATAAACTACCATATCAGCACCCAGGTCCTTCATGTCGCAATAAAGAAACAAATCCCCCGGTGGTTTCATCCAGTCGTCAATATTGTCACTTTGGTTATATCCAACACTAAAACTCTCCACCGTCTCCAAATTTAACGTCACTTTGATATCACAAACACGCTCAACTAAGAAATTTTCAAGCAATGAGTGTCAATAGTTTAAATATATTAAAATGAAAGAATTGTGAAGGGCGCACGGATATCGGTATTTCGGCCCTGGACTCCCGCTACTGCTGGAATAAACGAGTCGTAACTTCTGATTATTCTTTATTCCTCTTTTTCACGTCCGATATTCTTATCTTTACACTTTTGACAGAAACTTTGATGGGGTTTATTCGTACTTGCTGTCAAAATAATAGTTAAGTATACTAACTACTCGGTCAACGTCACGCCTTATAAGTATATGTACACCAATATCTACACACATAAACACCAAAACGTATTTCTTAGTTACCCTATTGTTTCTAATAAATAACCTTTTCTTTTAATATGCTTGTGTTCTTTTACACTATTTGACACAAAATATCTCACTGATTCAACCTTAACTTTTCTTTCTTTGTCTAATCGACTGTTTCACCCACACACCTATTACCGTTCCAAGCTATTTACAACTATGTATCAGATCACGTTCAAACACGTTCACGTTTAAGTAAATTCACCGGTCGTTTAGTCATCGCGACGCGGTGTTTATCGTTCCTCTGACGCTCACAAGAACGTCCTGAACACTTAGTGAAAACAATTTCACCTAAACCGGCCTGTTGGTTGGAGACTACCCGTCAAACGAAACAAAGAACGACGCGGTGATACTAGCGACGCTTTACGGACGCCATATAAACTATTTATCCCCACCTTCCTGATCTCCCTTTGGTCTTCGTCAATGCCAACCTTTTTTTTTTAGTGACATGCACTATATATACACATAAATATACATACGTATATATAAACAAACTGATAGTTTGATTAAATTATATTTTTTTTCATCTATTTCGGAGGATATTTTTGTTAAAGTGCTTTTTTTTTTGGTTTTAAAAACGATTCAATTTCTCTGAGTATATGTATATCTCTATATATCTATAACTATCAAAATGAAGTCGTTTACAAACTATATGAAAAGATGCTGAATCTATTGTGTATCAAATTATCCATACTTTGGTATATAATTAAATAATTTAAATATACAGCTGAAGGGTTTCATCGTAATAATAACTAATATGAAAATAAATTTTCAATTGACGTATTATACGATGATCCAAAATGAAACATTTTTTGATAGATAAAAAGTTTTGCAAATACCTAAATACTTTTTGTTTTATAAAAATTATAGAAATTGCTCTTTCAATTACCTGGCCATTTCTAAACTGCTGCTGTTGTTGTTGTTGCTGCTGCTGTTGCTGTTGTTGTTGTTGATGATGAAACAACGCAACTTGTTGTTGGGTTGTCATTTGATTATTTAAATAGATCAAATGTTCAGTTCCAGGTGCTGCGCTCTATAATAATAAATAATAAAAATGAATCGTTGAATAAATGATCAGTTACCGTAATAATAATTCATCAACACATACTTTAAGTTGCATAGGATGCAATTCATAAGGTAGATGAACATTATTTATAGCCTGGAGACCTAGCTGTTGTGGTTGACTTTGTTGTACATTTAATTTTGTCATTGGGTATTTCCATTTTTCATGATTCTATAATGTAAATTTTCTTATAAATTTTTCTGGCATGGTTTGATGAATATACTTATCTTTGATAAGTAACAATTCATCAAAGTTAATAGTAACAACTTGTTATAAATGTACAATGTACATACGTTGTCAATAATGGCATCGTCAGCAAGGGCCCATGCTCGAGGAGGCTGTTTAGTTTGAAAAGTTGAAGCTTGAGCATTGAATTCAACTTCATTCGGTCTTTGGAATACATAACCGACCATAGCATCATCTTGAGTGCGACTTACACCAATTTGATTAGTCTGTCCAGCTTGGAGTCTCATCGCATCTCCACTTGCCATCACTTGTGTACACTGTTCCATATCCTATAATATTGGTTATTAATTAAATGTTTGTCTTATTTAGAGAAATACAATATTTACATAAAAATTAATAAATAATATCTATATTTAACAATGAATCCGGTTATGGCAATAAATAATGCTACTAGAAAATAAAGAACTGATAAAAGTTGAATTTTGAATATAAGAAAAGTAAATAGAAGTGTAATATAGATGATAAATAATGTAAGTAAAGATTCATTACGTACGGCAGATATGTGTCCATTTGCAGAAGGATGGTGTAACTGCATGGAGGGTGCCGGTTCACTACCACCACCACTTCCAGCACTAAGCCACTTCATTTTGTCAAGCACTAAATAATTTTTCGTTGATAGATGCAAGTATACAAGTCAAAGTCACAAAAAGAAGAACAAAAGAGTGAAGAAGAAAGAGAGTAGACGGAAAAAAGAAAAAAAACAAGTGAAAAATGTATATGTGAAAGAATTCTCTTAGTGAAGGTTATCTTGAAGGATTTCCAACCGGCGACTGTTGTCGGTAAAAGTTACTACGTCCAACTCATATTCGATCCCCAAAAGATAGATATTTTTTAATGCCTTAATTTACTGTTATTTCCAATTCACAAACTATTTTATCAATATAAATTATACCAGGAAATTCAGCAATAATGGCAGCTACATACCAGAGCGCACACTGTCGGATTTTTGACAACACATATACACATGAACTTGGAGCAACACAAAGGGCTTATTATTTCACCGGTTTCTGATGATTTATCCAGTCAAAAGTGACTTTTCACGTTAAAAAAGCTCTTTCGATGTTACGATACCAATAATTACATATAATTCTTTGTTAAAGATTGCAGGTGTAAATAATACCCTTAGATCTCAGTATATATGCAAAAAAAGGTTGTAATTTTTTTAGTTGATAGGTCGTTGCGGTTTTGCGATTTCCGCACACCTTTAGCTTGAAAATTTGGTAAAAGAGGGAGTCAGCAGTAAGTCTATTACTAACTAATCCAAAATAGTTAGATTCAGAAAATTAATTGTAACATCAATAAAAATTGCTTCTCTCAGTATATATTTTTGTAATCAGCTTGGTATACGTATTGGCTGGTCGTCTCACTGTACTTGCTACAGCTAAAGATGTTTGATTTGCAACGCCACCACAAATGTCTCCGTGTTCACCGCGTTTTATTAACACTATTTATTAAATATACTATTCACAAATATTTACAAACGGACACGGATATGTAATACGCGTCCACTGGCATTCGCGAGGTTCGCGTGCTAGGATGCACCGCGATTTCGGTGACTCTCAGATGCCTCACACTCTTTCTTCTCTAGAGACAGCGGCTACCAATTGACGACATCTTTTCTAATCACGACGCATGCGCAGAACTATAGCAAATTCGCCCTTCTACTAATGTTAAAGACCTATAGGAAGGATTTGTTTTGGCACAATTTTCGCGCTTTCAATAACCGCGAATATTTGAAAAACTATAAAAAAAACATCAAGGGTTTGACATGAAATCACGTAGTAATAAACGAATGTTAGGTATATAACTAAAGAAAACTTTATTTTTATTACACAAAGTTTATATTTTTATTATTATCTTTTTGTCAGTAAGGATTGATTGAAATTTTCTGAATCATTTGGTAAAAATCGTATATATTTCACCTGGACTTAATCCTGTAAAGTTGTTTTTAGTTTTATAATAATAATTTTTACACTTTCATTTTACATTTTTTCATTCTTTCTGCATATTCTTTTTTTCAACATTGCACAATGAATTTCAACAGTCTCTTAAATAATTTTTATTCTAAAATAATTTCTGATCTTTGTGTTTACATTTAAGAAACTTCTTATTTAATAATAATAATAATAATTTATATAATTTTTATTTTAAAAAAATATAGAAAATTTTGCATAGTAGTAAAATGAATATAATATTTATACATTCGACTGTTGAAATACGATTTGTGGCCTAATATTTAAGAAAAAAATTATCTATAAAAGATATTCATGCAAACATCGTTTCTTCATAATATTATACTCACGATTTATATTTTACGATTAAGTAAAAAATATTTTACAAGATTTTTTATAAGGATTATTAATTGCGAATTAATGAAAACGTATGTAACATATTTTTTTTAATTTAACGATATTACTAATAAAAAATTTAACACGGTTAATTGTGTAAAAGACAAATAACATAATGAAATTTTAAATAATAGGTATTCCTATCTAACAATTTCAATAAAAAAAGATGTGAATTCATCGCTCATTCAAAATGCTGGAGTTTCCTCAGTAAAGAATATTATTTACGAATAATGTATCTTTCTGTACAAATGCAAAACAATTTGTCAACTTTTGCATTCATTGCATGACTCGAAATATAAGTGCAAACATATATATATTTATATACATGTATATATAGAACTATATAAACTAACAGTTTTCCAATAATGGAAATCAATAATAGTTAATTAAAAAAATTATATATACATATATAATTATATATAGATTAATAATATACAATTATATTTATATATATAATACGATGGCCATAAACCAAGTCAGCATCGTCTTTTTTATATTCGTTTTGACATTGTATGCTTTTTTTTTACGTATTAATTTATATTTAATATTTACAAGTGCAAAAAGTGTCTTTATAATAGTGTAGGCACTATGGCTTTGACGTACACGAAGATTGTAGAGATATTAAAGTTAATTTCGAAAGGATTTCTGAAGACAAGAAAATTGTTTTACCAACTAAAATATCAATTAAAAACTCTTACAATTTTTGGCCTCCTATCAAAATAATTACTTCAGAAACCTTGTATTCAATCAGGTCAAAAATTTATTTTTAAATCCTGATTTTATATTTGTTAGACAATTATTAGGATTCTTTTTGAATATTATAATCATGTTATTTGTGATAACAGATTTTCAGTTACCTGTTTTCTACTTTAGTTCTTGTTCACGTCTATAAATTTTATTTGTACGACTGTCGAGTTCGTTCCCATTTGTGATATATGTTTCTAAGGCAGAGTGTTAGAAAATAAAATTGCACACTTAAATAAAATTAATAAATATACAATGCGTTTAGTGTAGTAATTACTACTCGCTTTCGTACTTCAAATGCAATCGTAACACTCAAACGATAATTCTTTTCAAATAAGTGAACAATTATGAAATTAAGTGAACAATATAAAAATTGAATGAACTAAAATTTACGGCAGAATCTCATAAATTTTTTTTTTTCCAATCAAAAATCAATTATTTAAATATATAACATAATACATTAAGCGTACATTTTTAATGATGAAAATAATTTACAATGAATCATAATTATGTAATATAAATATACAATCAAAGGGTGCTTTTTTTTAACATTAATTAATTTTCTCATTACATACTTATATTTCTTCATTATTATGTTACATACTTTGATACATTGCACGGAAAAGTTTAATAACTTTACCACATTATAAATAGAAAATTTTTTAAGTGCATCAATTCACATATATGTGATATGTTTTTCTGTGCATTCTCATTTTCATTGCCTAATTTGTAAAAATTATAATAAACTTAACAAATAATTTAAATTCATTATTGAATAATCATCATACAACTGATGACATTTTGAAAGTCGAAAGCGAGATCGACCGTTTCGATTGTTAGCATCCACTGGTTTTTAATTTTCTTTTTAAATTTTCATCTCGACTATGTTTTTATTTCCTACAGCTGAATTCATATCAGTCATTTGTTAATGAAGTAGGGAAACGAACTCAGATTTACGATAAAAAGATACACGATTGATTTTCTCAAGATTCTATGATCTTTTTGAGGAAATCATTCAGAAAGGAAAATCGAAGAGATCTGAGAGACCTTCACCTGAGGCCAAAGAAAACGAATAGTCACTCTCTGAGAGCGGTGGTTCCAAAGACAGTAAGGATTCACCAAAGTCGAGAATATTCATATCTAAAACAGATTGTAAAGAAATAGGTTATTGATTATCGTTATTAATAATTGTTTAAGATATCGATTTCTTTCTTCAAGGCGTTGGCTAAAGACAGTTACCTAACTAGAACTCTGCCTGTGATGTGATTTTGTTTTTACACACAAGTCACAGCCAGAGCTCCAACAGGGAACGGTCATACAATCACACATTCCTAATATTTAGAGAGAAGATTAAAAACCAATTGATATTTAGTTAGGAATAGATTAAAAGATCGTTTACCTGTTGTATTTTGATCTTCAGTCTGCAGTTGGAACCTGCCACCTCCCATTGGTTCAAAATCATCAGATTCACTTAAAAGTGCATCTCTTAATCCTGGTAAGGTTGTCAATGACTTTGTATTGGAAACATTTGTACCACTTTTTGCAGAGAAATACTCGGACTTGGCGTTAGTTGATGTAAGATTTGTTTGCTCGTGATTCACTAGTAGTTCTGAAGGTAATCGAGGTAAATCGTTACATTTTATAGGTGATATCGAATGATGCGAAGGTATTAATGAAGGACTTGAAGTTTTTGCCGTAGAATCATCAGGACATAGAAATACTTCAATTTCACCATGTGTTGATCGCATATGGATTTGTAGCTGTCAATTAGAAATTATCGACATGATAAATTTTGTTCTTTAAACGAAAAACTAAGTTTAAAAATAATTCGTTTTTATTAATACCTTAGGTTGTCCACAGTAATTTACAGGTTGTGGTACATGAAGAGTGGCTTCTGGAGGTGCTTTAACTGCCATAATGGCTTGGTCTCGATACGCTGCAACTGAACGTAAGTCGTGGTAAGTAACATAAGCGTATCGTCTATCATCGGAGCACAATTCTCTCAAGCTTTCTTCTGCATCAAGGATTAAACTATCTAAAGCATTTTCTTTTGCTTCCAAATCAGCTAATTCTCGTCTTAATTCTAAAATATTATTTCTCTCGCCTGGTAGTTCACCACCTCTGTAATTGCAAATGAATTTCAATATAAGCAAATGAACTACTGCTTAACTAATATACAATATTAAACGACAACTTACTTCCATTGTATATTATTTTTACTTTTTTTCTCTAGTATGCCTATTCCTTCTAAGACATTTGTGATATCATATATCCTTCGTTTTTGTACTCCTAGTTTTTCAGAAGCAACATTTAAATCTACTACACCATCTTTACTGCTTTCTACTAAATTTATAAATTTTTTTGTTAATAAACTTAATGAAGTATCATATCTCGTTCTTTCTAAATTTTTACCTGCAATAAAAAGAAATAAAATATTACAAATATTATAAATAATAATTACAAAAATGAAAGAAAAAAAAATTATTACTTTTTGTAGGAGTATGATTAGAAAATGAATTAGAGCCTGATCTTCGTCGTTTAACTCTTGGTGCTTTAAAAGCCGATTGATTATTTGCAGTTGATGCTACTTCCAAATTAAGTCTTCTTTTTACAGCCTGAACTGATATTTGCTGGAAAAAGTTTTGCAAGTGACAAGGTTTCGTTAATGACAAGTTATGATATATAATGTATAGGCAAAGCATTTAGCATTACTTAACAACTTACTTCTGGTCTAGGTAATGGTTGGGCAGGTTTTCTTGTTACTTGATAGCAAGGTGTTTGCCCATATTGATGATCTTGTAAATGAGGACTAGGAGTTTCCTCAGCAACTTTCTGTGTTTCAAGTTCATCCAATGAATTTCCATCAAGGAATTCTGATTTTACTTGAGTAAAAGTAATTGATTAGATTCAGTTGATTTTGAACTTTCATGGCGAAGAGAGTCAACTTACTTAATTTTGTTTGTGTCATATCAGGTGTGACTGGCCTGGAAGGATCTTCCAGGATTACTTGTCTTCTTACACGTGGCATCTTGAATCGAGACCTGTTCAAGACATAAAAGAAAAGCAATTGACAATTTCATTTCTTAAATTCTGAATAGGGTCATCAATTTTCACCATTTTAAAATAGTTAACAAATCGTATCAGCTGGAAAAGAGCTACCATATTATAATGATTACTGATTATTGAAATAGAAGATGGAGAGTGAATTTTTGCAGATGGACACATGGAATGTCGGCGCGACGATCGCGTGGCGCCTCGATCTCGTCCAAAGAACAACCGGAAACTGGCCCAACAAAAGTTTAGAAAAGTCATTGAAGGGTAGATATGAAGAAAAAAACATATACTCTTCTATGACTGCTCTAAGATATTCTATAGAAATCTGTTATAGATTATACTTCCAAGTCTCACATTGGCGAATAATTATTTATAATCATTTATTGTAAGTTCATCGAATAAAGATAAAACTATGTTACATATTCATTAATGACACTGATTTTTTTTTAATAGGTCTAATCACTAAATCATAATAAATCAAATATTATCCTAGAATTTAAACTATGAAGAATTTTTCAAGTACCAAGTTACCTGCTTATATGAATGACATTAGAAAGAATAATTTTTGTAATCGTCAAAGTAAAAATTGTCAAAAGAAAAAATATTCATACTCTACATGTTTTAATGTAGCGTCCATGCTTCATGATGCCGGGACGCCACCATACAGAATATACACACAATTATATATATCTTAAAAAGAAGGAACTTCTTATTCGTAGGTATTGAAAGTACAGTCTTTTATTTTAAGACAATATTTAGTATGATTTTAAATCGATATATTTATATAGAAATACGAGAGGCCTTGAAATATTCGTCTTATCGGATTACTTCATCAGCTGTTTAACTATTTCAAGTGTTATCGACCGTACCTAATGAAACAATGCTAATTTTTATCCCTGGACAAGTCTTGTATACCTGTATTAATATATACCAAATGTCATACGATTCAGCTACTTACTTCTCAAACTCTCAATTATCAAATCTCAATTAAACAAAACATGTGACGAGCAGAGTTGAGTACACTTATACTTGATAATTGTTTTTCTGAGATATAAATAAAAAAAGATAAGTAAATGAACAAATTATACGACCATTTAATTGTGGGTTTAGAATAAATTTGTGGTAATTTAAATAAGTAATTTAACTTGAAAAATCAAGTAAACATGAACGATCCTAGAATTTGATAATCGACAACGATAACAATTTGAAGTAACATAATGTGTAAATTCATTAATGTGCAAATACATACTTTACGTTCCCGTGGGTCAGAAGGAATTTAGAGTAATGACGACGTACGTGATGCGATAGTCGTTGGTTACGTTCGAAAAGCGAGAATGCCACTCGTCTCGGAGAGCGCCTCATTCGCAAGGAGAGAACCGAACGCACGCGTTAGCTGTATCTTTAGGCTTAGAAAATTCACCGACTTATTCTCTGCACTAATCATTTTTTCTTTGATGATGTTAGGAAAATCGTTGTTATTATTCCTAATGAAGAAAAACAATGATATAAATAAATAAGTAAATGATGTTAAAATGTAAATACATCCACAACTTGATGAACGAGGCGGGGTCATAAGTTAACCAAGTATTGGTTACATTTGAAAAATAATAAAAGAAAAATAAAAGTATCTGTATATTATTATTTAAGCTTACTTGGTTTAGAGAATGTGTTATATTTTGAGATGTTAGTCCACACTCTTCCGGGGGTATGTCGCCTGGTACGACAGCGTGTTATACTTTCGTAATGTGAGCCATTGCCATCCAAGGAAACTGTTCAAGATTTAACACACTAATATAACGTATGCCATAGTTACGGGTTAAGTTGTAAAGACACAATAAACAAGTATTTTTACGCTTAACGCCATAGCCTTTCTTTTAAGATCCAAGTTTTTTTTACTCACCGTCTCCCTCTTACAGAAAGCAACTCCTATCGTGCTCCAATGGTGTCCATTTTCTGTGTCGACGGAAACACACAACTACCTCCTCTTTTCGTCGTATAACGCCGACAACGCACCATCCACAATAACGATTTTATCAATTTAAAGCCCCACTGGCAATTTCTATATCGTTAAAATTTGTTGCGGATGGTCATTGTGACAAACACGAACTCGTGTCCATTATTTTCGTGGAAATAGTCAGATTTTGTTGAGATCAGTGGACACGAGGCCGGCTCGTGTGATTGATTGGTGTAGATGGTAATAGTGGACAGCTAGCGCGCTAGCACTGTTTCAAGCACACAGACCAGATAGCTACTACTTCGTATTTATGCATCAGTATTAGTACGATATGTGACAATGTTAGTTCATGGATGTATACATATACCGGTAGTTGCCATCTGCCGGCTATTAAGTAACTAGAAAACGCGCGCCAAAATGTCTGCTTATATTTCCCGCAATGTTAGTTACCAACGTAATTCTTTACAAAGTCACTATTTTGTCAAGTACAACCCTTTACAGTCTATATTTTTCATATTGTATCCAGTTTACTAATTAATTATTTTATTTCACATTAACTATATTTTGTGCTTTATTTATGAATTTTTCAGGACAAACAAATCATGGACAAATTTTCATTTACTGACGCCACGTACAAGATCAACTAATCGCGTTGAAAGTTATTTTCACTGATTTAGAAATCTTTATCACTTTAAATTGAAATGTGCTTGAAGTACGAATAATTTTGATTCGTTATATTATTGTTAGATCCGCATAATTATACTAATATGATGACGAATGGATAGCTGACGCTCCAACCATCACCTCTTTCCATTTACTTGGCAGACACTACGGTCGAAACTGCCAGTGAACGATTGCAGTTCATTTCTTCAGGGAAGTAGGGATGTTGACGATTCAGGAGCGTATTTATTATGAGGTGTCAATTTACAACTTTTTACATTTGATTAGAGAAAGAATTGTCTCAAATTACATATTGATAAATTTTTAATAATTTATGTAATTAGTTGACACGAACTATTTTTCTATCTGATTATTGAATGCATTTTATCAGTAACTAAAAAAATTATCTCTTAAATAACATGTTGAAAAATAAATTAAAGAAATAAAATTGCATTTAAAGTTGATGTAAAATTTATTAAGGTGAAAATAATGATATTAGACTAGGATGTAGTTGTTAAAAAATTTATTATAAAATATATACAATATAAATTATAATTATGATTTTGTTGTATTGTCATTACATAGATAGTCAGTGGAGATTAAAGATATTTTATCAGTGTTGAATAGATGAAAAAAATTAAATTTCCAATAGTCGGGTTCCAATCTTGATAATGACGAGGTTGATGTGGGTCAGTAAGATGGAGGGAAAAAGGGGCCCGGTGTTCTTTTTATAACGTATTTATTCAAAACTCCATACGACTACAAAAGGGACGAAGACTACAGAGACGTAAGGCCTATATTATTCTTGTTCCATTCGCCATGAAATTCTTTCCCCTCTTGGGCATTTAAAGTGTGCCCTTCCCAGTTGCTTAAAACCCAAGGGTGATCCAAAAAGATTGTAGAGTAAAAAAATATGTCTTATATTGCAAAAATTTCTCAAAATTATTATATATCAATAATGACAAACAGTTCAGGGCGTTCAACTTCTGGTCTATCTAGTATTTGCATCGCCGAATAAGTTATCGCTTTTACTTCTGTACCTTGAGGATGCTTACCAAGTGTGAATTCTTCACCGTAAGCTTTTGCTTTTATTTTAAATTCATCACGATTAAATTCTGTTATTTCAACTTTCTAAAAGAGAAATAAAATAAAATGTTTTGCCAATAATAATTAATTGTTAAGCAATGAGTTAATGAAGGTATACCTTAGCAATCAGAAATGGTTCTGCATTGAATAAAAATAATAATTCATCAAGAAAGTGAAATAATAGGCTTTGTAGATCATGTCCGTTGGCTTCTATTTCGTGCACCTGCTTTATCTCGACTGTCTCAAGCTCTGTCATATAACCAAACATGGCCATTGCACACTGTTCAAATGCTTCTTCCATTGTTTCACCCCATGCATGTAATCTATAATTATTATGAGTAATTGTTATGATTCATTAGTAAGTAGACTTAGTCATTTTTTTCATATAAAAATGAGCACGTGTTGATTTTAGAGGTTAAGATGCATATTATATACAAAAAAAAAATCTTTTTTACCTCAAGCATCATATACTTACTGAACATCAGCTGTATGATCTAAATCTGCAATGGAAAGTTATAAATAATTGATTGTTATCTTTTTATATAAACATTTAAACGTGATTATTATACATTTACATGAGTTAAATAAATTTCCCGCCACATATCTGATAGATTTACATGTGTAATGTTGATCATTATTATAAGGGGACTTTAAATTTAAAAAACAATAAAATTTTACTTACACTCATATTTACGCGGTGGAATTTTCAAGGTCTCATCTGTCAATTCGTTCATGATGATGATAATCAGCTGATTACTCCTACACGAAATAAACCGAACAGCTGATTCACTGACATTCACTTCAATGAACAGGAATTTACCACGTGGTCATTGTTTACTGTACAGATGGCAGCAGTATACAAGCCTTCTACTCTCGGTCGGTAAATTTATTCTACCCCCGCGCATATCTTAAATATTCATTGAGCCGTTCATTATTGTATGTCCTTTTACAGCAACTACAACATTAAAAAAACTGAAAGGCATGAAATCATTCGTTGCATTAACTAAATCATTTAGTCACAATCTTAGTTAGATTTGAATGATTATAAATAATGATATCATATATGTATTTAACTAGAATAATAGTAATTATGTGTATGAAGAAAATTTGGATTTATTATTTATTATATTAAAAAAAAAGATACTGTTTCAAATGAATAAATTAAAATTTGTATGTTTATGTTTTAGGTCAACATCGGTTTGGGTTTAATGACAATTTAACATTGTTATTATTGTCATCATGATGACGTTTGTAGAAGAAACTTGTTTTCTGTTGTATAGGGCGTCCAAGGGCATCCACTTTGGCAAGCAATGTACTCATTACATAAAGTTAAACATCTTGATGAAGAACGACTACTTAATCGTGACTGATTTTATATCATACATTTTAAGGGTGCGACTATTATAATTATTTCTTCTGAGTTCTTTTGTTTACTTACATAATCATATTTCTTATTATGTTTATTATAAATATGTTAATTGAATACAAGAAAATACATTTTAACTGTGTTCTTTTTTCAGATGTAAATTATTGACTAAGTAATTTAGTTATTTTAATAAATTAATAATAACTATTTTATAAAAAATATTAGAAGCAGAAAGTAAATATTTTATTCAAAATCTAAAAATACTATATAATTATCTCTCAAGACATTTGGAGAATTTATAATGAGTAGAATGAAAAAAAAACATCACAAAGAAGAAAAACAAGTGTAAATCAATATCGTAAATCATCTTCTTTTGGAATAATTTTAATAAGACCTTCAATTCAATAGTAATTATTATTACCGTAGTTAGGTGACAATGAGTATTGATCGAGAATCTCCTAGGACAATGGTAAATAGTTATTTAGACCACCTTGGATTTTATTTTCACCTCTCTCTCTTTCTAAGTTTTATTGCTATCCGTATTCGACTTTTCATTCCCTCTTAACATCATTCTCTTGCGCGTATTCCTGACTAATGACATGCAATTTTGCAACGCAGCGACGTCGAGTCCTTGACTGCACTAACTATATAAAGTGAAACCGTCGACTAGTAAGACTTGATACTCATTCATTTTTGTTAGAGTCAAGATGATGCTCAAACTTTTTATCTTCATCGCACTATGCGTGTCACTTACTATAACTCAAGATATTAGTTTACGTAAGTATCATTTTTTTATCATTTTTACCCAATCATTGCCAGTGAAGTTGAAATTTATTAATTTACTAATTAAATTAATTATAGCTACCTCAGTGAAAACGTGTAAACGAAATTCAGATGACTATTCGTCGTGTCTTAGGCTGGCAATTCAAGAGTCATGGCCACTCTTTGTGCAAGGTATGTCTTTGTTTACAAAAAAAATATATCAATAATATAGAAATATATGATATTATATGATGACTAGGTATTCCTGCTTTAAATATGCCTCCATTGGATCCTCTTTCAACGGATTTCATGATGAACGATTTCAATTTTGATGGAGTATCTGGAAAGTTTGTAGTGCGCAATGCTAAATCTTACGGATTAGCAAGGACCCGTTTCTTGTCAGTACGACCAGCACATGCTGGTGCTCGTTTTAAGCTTGAAATTGACATGGAAATTCCTACAATTTTCGTGGAAGGAGGTTTCAAGTCTGATGGAAAAGTTGGATCCTTCAATGTTGTTGCAACCAAAGGTACAATTAATGCCAAATTTTACTTCATTTTTATCCTGCTATCAACGAAGATCATTGTTTTTAATTATTTTATTAATACTTTAGGACATTTCAACATCAGTATGGAAGATCTCCGTGCTACTTTGAAGTTGGAAGGTCCAGTAGTGAATGATAGATGGGAAGTTCAAACATTCTCATTTATGCCAGAGGTTGGCAAGATGAAAATTTGGGCTAGTGATTTGTTCAATGGCAATGAAGAACTTAGTAAGTATTATTATACATTGTTGTACAATTTGCTTCTCAGAAATGCATTCTAATTTTTTATATTATTTTTTACTTTAGATAAAGCCGCACTTACCTTCATAAATGAATTCTGGAAAGTCCTGTATGAAGGAATGTTACCTACTGTTTCAAAAACTTGGAACAATTACTGGAGAGATTTTGTTAACGAATATATTTTCTCAAAAATTTCATTTTCGAAAACTTTTCCTTGAACAAATGTTATTTTTTTGATTTTATATACATTTAATTTGTAAAAAATAAATATACTGTTATTATATTATGACCCAGTTGGAGAATTTTTATTTTTAGTTAATGATTATTTACCGAATGTAAATTCATAGATTGTTGTAAATATTTCTATATGTACTATATTTTTAAAAAAAAATAAAGTTTTTAATAAAAACTATTTATTACGACATAAAAATGTTTTTTTTTTTCGTTAATTAAATGTTTAAAATTCCATCTATCTTTGAATCAGAATATTTATTCATAAATCTAGAAATGAACAATAAAAATTTCAATTAGTTTTCCTTTTCATATGACTTAATTATTCAATATTGAAGTTGGCCAAGTTTGCCACCAACATCTTGTAGCTTATCAGTTTTAGAAAGTTAGAATTAATAATATTTATAGTATTCCAGGTATATAGTTGTGATAAAAACTGATTTATTTTCTCATTTTATGAAATAAAAATTGAAAACATAAATAAATAAACTGTTTTGATTGACATTCAACATATACTTTTTTTTTATAGAATTCAATTTTTTTGTTTGAATGGAACGTTGATTATTAATGTATAAATTTATTTCTAACACATAAATAGAACAAGAAGAAACATGACGATTTTGAAGGTAAACTTGTTCTTCTTAAGCATGGAAACATTGATATATGGAATCATTAAAATAAAATTGCTAAAATACAAAGACGATAACAATACATAATTATCAAACAAAACTAATAACAACAACAAATAATGATTACTATAATATCGACAACATTACTATTAGATTAAATTATGGTAATAAAAATGTTTCAACCGGTACATGAAGTAATAATTGATTGACAATTCCGGCAAAAAGAGTCGAGAGTTTTTTCTTGAGCTGTGGCTCCATAGCTTTTAACACTTCCTGCCCATTATCACGAAGGAATAAATTTGTAGCTTCATCTATACATTTTGAAAATGACATGTCATTACTATGAAGGATAATCATAATTTTTTTACAACTTACTTATTATGCGATTGAAGCTTGTACTTTTGCGTACTCGCATTGAAACCTTTTTCACGCCAAGTTGAACATCCAGGGTATCAACATGGAGATAAGTCTTTTCATCTCTGATAGAGGTCGACACAGATCCTCGTACATTAGCTTCAGCATCTTCAAATTTAGCAAAAAAAGTACCATTGCTGCTAGCAGGTAAAATGAACAGAACACCTGCACTGAAGAAATATTTCATATTTGTCAATTCATCTTATTGGAATTGTTTGAAAAGAAGCTTCTAACAAACTAGACATAAAATGCAATGTACAAATACCTTGAGTACTGAGCATTCAGGAACAAAACAGGCATTTTGATAACAGCTCGAAATGATGAACCAAGTTGGATATCTTCAACCGTATAATTACTTGCACCCCTCACAAATAGCTCGGTCAGACGTACTCTATATCCGTTCGTGCCACCTGTTAGAGAGAGCATAAGTTCGTCCATCTGTTGACAGAAATATAATAAGTTTTTTCCCTAAAACTAACAACATAATTGTTATGAGGATAATTTTTAAACATACTCGAAAAGGCTCTACAGCAGGTAGTTTTATTTCTGGTATGCCATTTTTAAGGTAGGGTCGAAGGTGATGCAAAGCATTAATAAGACATGCTTTTAAGTGAGGATCACTCCTTGAACATTGTTTCACATATTCAGCTACAATATTATTTATAGATTATTACAAAAGTATTGTACACATTTTCAATATATCTGTGTGTGTGTCATTTCCAATAACAAGAACAAATTGGCTGTGTCAATTTTGATGTTTAAAAGATTAGCAATAAAAAAAGACTTACATAAAATGTTGTGTTTGAACTTTGAAACTAAATAATTTAATTTATTTATACTTATAAATATTGGATTTTTTTCTACATAATGTATCTACAAGTGCATTGATAACTTAAGTAAAAAAAAAATTAATAAATTCAATGAACGATTAATGAATTATAATAGATCACTTCTTTAAAAAAACGAAATTTAATGATTTTTATTAATGTATTTTTCAAGATATCCACGAGAATAGTAGACTTGTCATCGCTAAACTTTGAGACGTTGTCTTTTTTATTGTACTCACGAGGAGATTGTGATAAAACTGCTAAAATGTTGATGAGTAATCCTAATAAAATGATTAACATGGTTCTGTTAACTGAGTGATTAAAATTTTATGAAAAAAAAAATAATCAATCACTAAAATAATGACTGAAGTGCAGCGTGTATTAAATGCAGTTTGAAACTGATAGTAAATATACATATTTTCTTCTACTGAAGATACTTTCACTAGAACGCCAACGAACTTTAACGAGACTTTATGAACAATTATAGTATTTTTTTTCTTTTCTTGTAATTATTATTCACTTTCAAGTTTACTGAATGATTCTAATAATTAAAATTTACAAGCAAAAAATGTTTTTGTTATGATAATAAAAATATAATGATAGTCTTAAGAAATTTATATTTGATTATGATGGAAAAATAATTGCAAAGTATATTTTATTTTTCATCATCATAGAAATTATAATTTATTAATAAATTCCATTCTACTATCAGTCATCTGAATATTCTAAGAGATTTTTTGTTCTGATTAAATAGAAATAAAGATTGTTGCAGAAACGGACTTCCGATCAATTGCAGCAACAAAGTATTTTTTTTTTTTCTTCTGTGTACTTATGTTGAATTGACATAATATAACTACCCATATCTCTGAGACATCTTACGTTATTTTATTTTCAATTACACGTATGTTACGTGAAAATCATTTAATTCTTATGTTATGTTATGTATTGCATCCCATTAAATAATATATTACATCGTAATTGCGTTGATAAAAATATATATCAAATAGTGATTGCAATTTCATGTTCACAGCAATGGTAATGAAATGTAATGCAAAAATTTAGCCATGTAGAAGTTACATCTTAATCCAATCAATGGAAATTCTGGGCAATCTTTCGGTGATAATTTCCACCATCTTTTTACCTTATTTTAAACAATAAATAATGTAATAAATTATGTATAATTTTAATCTAACAACATTATTTATAATAATGGAATATTACCACCAAAACTATCGTCATACCATTTACTTTATAATTTATTTCAAAATCAAAGCATAAATTTTATTTTAATTAAGCAGATACAACCACGTATTGGTGATTAGGCAAAAAAAAAAAAACTAGAAAGTAATTATTTTAAAAATTTAAATAATTAGACATGTATACAATAAGTCTAACAATTGATCATAAATTATTCACACACTCAAAGTAAAAAAAAAAAAAAAACATAATTCAAGGATTATTGAATATTTAAATGTTATTACTGTAGACGATCTAACATTCATTATAAATCATGTAATTGATAAATCTCGTTGATTTTTACCCGATTACTTTTTCTTTTCATTTGAAAGAATGTAGGTAAAGGTGGGATTCGAAGGATTATATAAGACGAATTCGAAAATTCAGAAGATTAAGTCTGAGTAGTTTCAGATGCATTGCAAAGAGTGAAAGCGCGAGCAACAGGATTCGTATGTATTTGTTGTATATACCAAACTTGGATCACGCAGTGTGTACTATCTTGGCTCATTGACCGCAAGGCCAGGAAGGCAGAACAACATTTCAAGAGAACACGTAAGGACCAAAAATTAGTGAAACCTAAAAATGTTTAAGTTTTCAGTGATTTTTTTTTGTTTATTCAGCTTATCATTCTGCGAATTTGGTACGTATTATTACAATAAATTGCATCGAAAGATTAATTAATATTAAATATAGGTCATGTTATATTTTTTATGCTTCTTTGTCAACAATTTTCATGATAATAATTGTTATCCTCTTTAATTAATAGTTGATCGCATACAATGATTAATTATTAATTCATATAGATACGATATGAATTTTTTTTGAAAAAAGATTAAATTGTAGAGTAATTTGTCTTAATCGGTGAAAGTGAAATCAAGCAAAGAACTTGCGTAATTTTTTATAATACTCAAAATTTTCCATTAATAATTTCAGTATAATTGTTAATTATTAACATGATTATTGACTTTGCAACACTGAGTAGAATTCAACTTAGGGGAAAAAAATAGTTGACAATTCAATAATTAGATATTTTAAAAAGTGTTTAAGTGAATTTTCAAAAGTTACTATCTATTATTACAATTATTATTAAATTAGAAAGTTAATCTTTCATTATAAACCATGTTATCTTACCCGATCTACAGAAGATGCTTTTAAAAATTGTCATCCCGATGTCAGTGGATTTGATGCTTGCATTAGAGAGGGATTAAATTCCATCAGACCATATTTTAAAACAGGTGTGCCAAAATATAATATTAAACCATTCGATCCATTTTTTGCGGATGAAATAGTAGTGAAACGAGGTCTCGCCAATCTTGGTTTTGTTTTGACACTGAGAAATGTAACAGAAAGTGGTTGGACAACTAGCAAAGTGACTAAATTTGTCAGTGACCTATCTAACTATAAGGTAAATTTATTATTCAATATCAATTAAATAATTACTTTTTTAAATAACATTCGTTAATTTATCTATTTTCACAGGTTGTTTATACACAAAGCTTTCCAGCGAAATTTTTATCAGGATATTACGAGTTCGAAGGTACTTTACTCGGTCCTAAAGTCGTTAATAAAGGAAAGTTTACATTAGATTTATGTATGTATTATTTATATTTTTCAAACTATTATTTTTAAGGCATTGTTTTATTGGTAATAAAAATGATTTTTATTAACAGATGACTTGGTTCAAACTACAACAATCACCAAGAATCCACTCGAGAAATTGAAAGTGCAAGTTGAAGTTCAAACTATTCGTGATCTGAAATTACACATTTCTAATCTGTTACGTGGAAGAAATATATTGGAAAATTTTCTTGATCGAATAATAAATGGTGCTTGGCAACCAGGTTTTGTTGTTACGCGTGGAATCATCAATGAAATTGTGTCTACTGCGTTTACTGAAATATTTGGTCAAGCATTTCAAAACTTTCCATTTGATAAAGTAATCAAGAAAAAAGCCAAATAATTTTTAAAAAGTGACAGTTTAATTTTTTTTTTAGTTAAAAGTAGACGTTGAATGATAAAATATTGACTAAAATCAATAGTTTATCATTCAGAACAATTCTTCGTGTGCCTTTCATATGATTTTTTGTAATTAATTTATCACTTGAGTAGATTTGTACATTTGTTAAGTAATGTGTATTGTAAAAAGAAGTGATCTCATTAAGTGATCAAATAATGTACATACATAAATTGATATTTTTGTGTAAATAAACATTTAAGATATTTGTTACATTTTTGAATAAACATTTATTTTAAATTCTGAAAGCCCCAACTGAATTAGTAATTATACTTTAAAGAATCACCATATTTGTCGGTTGATCTCAGTCGTTTACCTTGAAAACCTAAGACTATCAAAGGTCTTTGACCCTACATTTTTACTATCGATAACCAGTTACACTTCACTGAATACAAAAGTAGACCACGTATTTATGAAAAATTATTACAAGAAGAAAATAAAGACCTGACTCTGATTTTATTTTAACAATAACAACTTTTAATTACTAAATATAATTAGTATTAAAACAAAGACTAATTTTATCTAAAATCAATATTTAAAAAAATCACACTTGATATTATTATAATTTCAATTTTTTTTTAACATTAAATTTTCAATCTTTGTTTATTATATAAATATAATTAAATTCTGCATTGATTTAAATTGTAATAGCAATAATGATTTTATGCTAATTGTCGCTTTTATTTTTCATTAAAAATACATAAAGAAAGTACTTAGCTATCCATCTAATTTTTGGGTCATTGATCTCTGCGAAAGTTTAAATAAGTAATATAACTCTTCAATGGTAGAAATGAAATGCTGCTAATATTCATGTTTCAATTACTGTACAGCTTGATTGTATATAAAGAACACTATAAAATATACATGTACGTGAGTTTAAAGAAAGTTTGAAGAAGCTGACGGTCTAAACCCCACTCTTTCTCTTTTATGGTACCAGACCTTATTCTCCAGCGAGGGGCAATGTCAAGGTAGGTACTATAAGTCTCATCGCATCAACCACTGTCCGATCACTCGGGACGTAGAACTTCTGTCCGTTCGTTGAATCCGTTATTTATTTTCAATATTTATTCCTAAGATGAAGGTTAGAGGATTGTTGTGTTACAGTTTAGTAGTTTTTATTTCAATTAATTATCAAGTACAAGCACTAGGAAAATACAGAGGACTTGAATTTTTGGAGCCTTGTTCAAGACGTGATCCACAACTTGAAGCATGCCTTGCAAGATCTGCTAATGTATTAACGGAACATTTCCGACACGGTAAAATACATTTGAAACAACTTTTATTTCTTAAATCTCTTTATAATTAATTTATTTAAATTTTCTAGCTGACTTCATGATATTTTTAATATATTTTTTCAATTTCTACAAGACGCTTTGGCAAAATAATCAATAGTAATTTTAATTTTTGTTGTCATCAAATATATTTTTAAATTAAATAGTAATAATGTATGTGAAAATTAGGTTATAACGGTAATTTAAATATGAAATTTAAAGTCTCATATTATAAAGTACCTTTTGCTTTTCTTTTATAGAAAGAATACATCCTCTTCAAAGTTCTACTTTTTTACAGGTCTTCCTATATTGGATTATCCAGAAGTAGAGCCAATAGTATTAGACGAAGTCCACATTACTTTGGGTGGTGGAGCTGATGGTTACAAGGCACAATTCCGTGATGTCACTGCAAGGGGAGTGTCGTCATTGAGAATTACAGGTCTTAGAACACGAATCAGTGATGATGAAGTACAGTTACAATTGGCCCTTACTATTCCAAAAATTCGAGCTGTAGCCAAATACCAATCAAGTGGTACACTTATTCTTGTTCAAGCTAGTGGAGCTGGAGATTATTGGGGTGTTTATGGTAAGCTGTGATACTTTTTATGATGAGTTCGTTATTATATTTTAATTCTTTACTTTACTGTTTTCCAGATGGAGTTAAAGCGAAAGTATTTCTACGAGCTAAACCTTATATGAATGAAGGTCGTAAATTCCTGCAATTACAACAATTGAAAATGGACTTTAGCGTTCAAAGTATTAAAATGGGAGTTGAAAATGTTCATGATGGCAACACAATACTACGTATGTATTAATGATGATTAGTATATTTTACTGCTTATCAGAATAAATTCAATTCCCACTAATAATTAATTTTGTTTTCAAATATTTTAGAAGCTGCATTGAATCTTTTCATCAACACCAATAGTCAAGAGTTGTTGAAAGAAATGAAACCTGATTTAAGACGAAAACTTGTACAAGTTATGACTGTTTTTGTTGAAAAATTATTCGCCCAAGTTCCTTATGATGCTTGGATCACTGATTAATTATTTATTATAATATATTTTAGGCTGATTATTTTTTTATTGTTATTCACGACTGAATATAAAATATAGGAATGTAAATTTTAAAAATTATTTTTCATAATATTGACATTTATATGATTTTTATTCCAATGTATGATAGAAACAAATTTTACATACAGTTTGTTATTATAAAATCATTGAATATTTTATATATGTGATTTATAGTAGTCATTATTGACACAGCATTGAAATTCAATAAAAGATAATCAGCAAATGGATTAATAATGACAAAGGTGAAAATGAAGAATGATAAATGACGTTTGATACTACAAATTATAATAGAGAATTTTTTTAATTGATTAAAGTTTAGTGTAATGATATAATTTTATTTATATTTATTAAATAAGACTGTAATTTTAGTAAAAAAAAAAGAATGAAAATAATCTAATTTACGACCATTATTTTAGTACTGAGTTATATAGTTTTAACTCACATTTACAAATGTATGAAAGATAATTGGTTTTTTTAACATATGTAAAGTTGAGTTGTATATTAGAAGCATTAAGTTCAAAGTAAAAAATATAAAAAATACTATTAATCATCTTGTAGAGATCATGAAATGGAGTTAGATCCTTGGTAGACAACTTGTGAGCATGAAAAAAAATAGAGAATTATAAATTAGATGAAAATATTTTTTGAGAAATTTTTTAATAAAATTGACGATTGTTGATTATAACTATTTCATAAAAAGAATTGGTTCGATTTTAAAAACAATTACAATAAAACTAAAAATTGAACAAGAAAAATTTTAATGAAAATTGTATGAATAGAAGTAATAATTATTTTGACTTAGAATTTGATTTTTTTTGAAAAGTCATGACAATTTGTGGAATCGATTTAATAAAAAGCATTTTTTTAACCTTTAATAAATAGGATAACTATCAAAATGCATCTCTTTAAATGACTCATATACTTACACATTACATTGTACAATTCACGTGTCGAAATGCTGATTGTGGTAAGTTTTAACAATAAATCTACATTGTATCTATGAAGGAAAGTTATGTAATGAATTATGTCAAGCGAAATAACTCCTCTAATTTGTTTTTGTGACTGCAGTGCAATTCGTAATTGTATTAATTGTTATTGGAAAATAATTATTTACATTTTTTTGTAAATCTCTGATGATTCAACCGTAAACGATTTTATTGTTGAATGTTACCACCAAATCAAGAATTAATCAATGATTTATTGTCAATGAAACATTAAAAAAGAAATTTGATGAAATGATTTGTAACTGTTCAAGAAAAATTGCGTCAACAGGTTACTATGAATCAGACGAAAAAAGTCGATTATCATATCAAGAATGAAAATGAAGTTGTAATTATTTATACTCTGACATATCATAACAGTCAATTGTTTCACGTGATCTGTCATGTACATGAACGTCGAAAATACCAGATAAATCAAGACGAAACAATTACGTAGTGGAGGATTAGGGGGAAAATAACAATAAGTTTGACTACGTGAGCATCTCAGATACTTATTGTTGGAGGAGGTGGAAAAGAAGTGGGAGCACTTCCTCGTTGACGACTTTGAAACTGGCAATTTCCATTTGATACAAATCCCACTTAAGCTTTTTCGAATCCAATATATTGAAGCACAGATTGATGTTACTTTGTAGATCGAATTTAATTCCTCTTTCAAATACTTGTCTTCCTCCAAAACCTTTAGTACAATGTCGAAATTTGTTCTATCAATTATCGTTATATCATTTGTAGCAACAGTGCAATCAGTAGATCTGCGTAAATATTTATTTTTACAATTAGTTCCTTTTCCTTTATTATTATTTTAAATAAATAATTTATTAAAATTATTTTTTCATCAGCTGAATTTCTTCATGTTTGCAAACGAAATGATCCTGATATTGACAATTGTATCAAAAGTAGCGTTGAACATTTAAGGCCATATTTAGTCAAAGGTGTACCTGAATATAATCTTCCATCCCTGGAGCCTCTTTTATTGAAAGAAATAGTTATAGCTGAGGGCCAAGGAGGCATCAGAATAGCAGGAAAAAATATCAATGCTTTTGGTGCAAGTGATTTCACTGTTGCTAGTATGAAGTAAGTAGTTTATTTTTATTTTTCTCATACTGACTCATTTTTAAAACTTGATAAACAGTCAAACTCATTCCTCTATTTATTTGCAAATAAATTGCCATAAATAACAGTGTTATTTATTTGCCTTTTACGTATTTTACTTTTTTTCATTCTTTCATAGACATGTACATTTTAGTATTCACTAGATGTATTAGATACCCATGGTCAGCCCATAAAATATTTATGAAAAGCTACTGAGTAGAATTATACGGGTTTAATATTATTTTCTATTGTAAAATGATTTTTAAAAATATATTAATGTTTTATTTTTGTTTTTGTAAATGATTAAAGAGCAGATATGACCAACCTCATTTATAAACTGGACATCGTTTTACCTCATCTTTATGTAGACGGTGAATATGACGTTGATGGACGGATATTATTGCTTCCAGTGACTGGATCCGGTCGTATGACCGGTAACTTTACTGATTGTACAGGAGCAGTCAAGTTTACAGGAGAAATTTATAAAAATGATGCAGGTGTTGAATACTTACGTGTTAAAGATGATTTCAACCTAAAAATAACTGTTCATAAAGGATCTTTGAAACTTGATAATCTCTTTGGCGGTCAAAAAGCAATCGGTGAAGTTATTAATTCAGCAATAAATTCCAATTTTGATGCTATTCTACGTGAGTTAAAACCTTTGATAGAAAAGGCTTTAGCTGATGTTTTCTTAGAAGTTGGTAATAGTATAGTTAGTATTTTTACTTACGAACAATTATTCCCATTATAGTAAATCATGCGAAATTATCTAACTAAATATGCTATTGTTATTTGAGTGATGGTTAATTTGTATATACATGTTTTTATAATCTTTTTCTTTTTCAAATAATTCAGTCTGTACAAAAAATAAAAAAAATTTGTCGAACAAGATGATGTCGAAAATAACTTGTTATCATTATTAAATTATATTGTCAGCAAATAAATGGAAGCGTGTACAAATTTTTGAATAAATGTTGTATTTATTAATGATTATATTTTAATATTTAATTATGGCTTTAAATTAATAAAAGTACCTCATAGCATAATTTTTTCTTTGTTTTCTTCAATATGTAATTACATAATTAATTTTAAATTAAAAAAATATTTTATAGAATAATTAAAATTTACAAAAAATTCAATTTCACTATAATTGACAAGAAATAAATGATCTTATTAAATATTCCTCGGACATTGAACATTATAAATCAGTAAGTCAAGCGTTTATTTGATAATTTATTGTTTTCTGTAACAAAAAGAAGTTTCCGTAAATAATCTGATAATAAGCAAGCCGGGAAATGAAACTCATTTATATATAGTGCAGATGTTAATCATGATGAAATTGATAATATGTACTTATTGAAAGACAGTACAAAATTACGGAAGTTATTTAAGACTTGCTAGGACAATCAGTTGCCATGAATCACGCAAGAATAACGGATAGTAATAGTGAAGGTCATGTATTTATGTAAATAAGAAGTTTTTTCTTTTCTTTTGTGTTTTTTTCCACTCTTTTGCAACAATAGAAAAAAATTTTTTTTTTCATTACCGAATACGTTTATCAATTTGACATTTTGTATACTGGTTAAATGATTCCATCGAATTCCTTTTTCCTTTAAATCTAAAATTGATTATATCACAATCGAAATAAATTTAGTAATTAGTTGCTTTGGAATAAAAAAAAAGAGGAAAATAAATTAATGCTTGGACAGATATTTTTTAAAAAAAAAAGGACAATGAAATTTATCAAATAACAATATTTATTATAATTTCAAATTTTTTGTCAATTTATAAATTTGACTGATTGTCCTAGAACATGTTTTATTATATAAACTTATTTTTTCAAGGTAACATTAATATGATTTGAGTGTATTTGAGTATATCATTCATGATCTGGAAACAGTTCGTCGTAAGTAAAGTTTTTGCAAATTTTATTAGAAATTTCAAGTACTCTTGTTGAAATAGCTTTTTCAAGAATGGGAATAAAAGTTTCCAACACTTCTTGACGGTTAGAGTTGATGACAGTATTGATTGCATCAGCAAGAGTTGTACTTGATTTATCATATGGTGTAAAGTTACATTTATAATCAGCAATTTTCATTTTACAGGTCATTCCTGTAAAATACAATTGTTGTCCTTTCTTGGTACTTATTAATTTATATTGAAGCACAACATCTGCATTAATATCATCTATAATGATAGAAAAAACTTATTAATGAAATAGTTTTACTTAAAAAGAACAAAAAGTTGATAAAAACTTACATGAATCAATAGTAATATAACCATCTCCATGGATTGGAACTAGAATTTTGGCATCAACAACATAATCACCTTCTGTTTTTACTTGATCAAAATGTACCTTGAAGGTTATGGTTTTTTTATCAAGATCTGCATGAAAATTACTTGGTTCAAATGCTGAAAGATTTGATAGTTTAACATTTTTAGTAGACGCTGAAAAATCCTTGAGGTTGTAAAATGAAAGCCCTTCAGGTAGAAAAAGAGGTTCTATTGGAGGCACTTTCAGCTCTGGTATTCCTCGTACTAATAGTGGAGTTACTGTTTTGACACTATTTAAAATACATTCATCCAATTTTGGATTTCTTCTACCACAAACTGGTAAGTATGATGCTATAATCAATATTATTCAATTGTAAGAAAAATAATTTAATAAAAATTCGAATTTATAATAATCAAATTTTGAAGATATGTAGCTATTACTTACGAACTTCAGTGAAAACCGAAGGCAGTAAAAAAATAAAATTAAACCAAAACACAAATGATTTGATCATTTTCAGCAGCACAACGTATCACTTGTTCTATTAAATATCAACTAAGATTAATCAAAAGAAAAGATTAATTTATACCTTCGATAAACTTATAAATAGTATATTAGCTGATTCACTCCATAATTAATTCAGGGCCACGGTCAGAATCTATCAACAATAATCCCATCTCGTCTAAGAAATAAATGAAGTTTCCATCTAATGACTAGTTCTTTATAAGTGATGTTTTTCAAAATAATTAATATTGATAGTTAGAAATATGAATGCTATACCAGCAGTTTTTTCTTGTATTAACAATGTGTGTTGGTATGTGATGGTAAATTATTGACTTGTATTAGTATTCAATACAATATTAACTTGTTTTTCTTGTTGTATAAGGGGTCGAAATAATTTTGTCTTCTCCATCTCATACTTGACATCCAGATAAATTTACTGGTCTATCAGATTCGGTGATAAAATGATAAAGATAAATCACTGCATAGTTATACAATAAACTTGTTTTATTAGCAATGATCTGCCATATAAATACAAAAAATAGAATTTATTGTAACAAGATTTCGGTCGATCATTTAAATTAAAATTTTTAAAAGTCACAATTTTCTCGTCTTACTACTTTTTCATTGGATCTGAATTATTTTGAATAAAATTATCTAGAGTATTGATTTATCACATTTTTTTAATCAGATCTAATGTATTGCTCATTTTCAGATAAAGTCTATTCTAATATGGGGAAAAAAAAATTATCCATTAAGTTTAACAATTTCCCTAATAACCAGCCTTGACGTCAAAATTTTCGTCAGACTTATGCATGTTTGTTTATATTCTGTATCACACTGCCATTCATTGTCTGACGTTAAATTTTCTGACGACAATCTCAGGTCTATCTGCTTAAAAAAGATGAAAAATACATACGTAAGTCGAAACATCTAAATCTGCTGTCAGTCTTACGTTGATTTGATTGTTTGGGTCATTAAGTTAATCACTATTCATTAAGACCCATGATGTCTATAAAAATGAGGATTTTCTTAAATAATCAATCAAATATTTATATTTACACTCATCGTGGTATTGAACCAAGTGACAAGATAAATTTTTAAACCAAAATATAATTAAATTAAATAAAAAATTTTATCATGAATATTCAAAAATGTTTTTACTCAATTGAAAAACATTATTTCGACATAATTTCTACAAAATCTATTTTTATAATTTAGACAGACAATCAGAGTTTTTTAATAGATATGACTTTAACACAAGGTGGACGGTCAGGGATTTTGAATAGATAATCATCTTTTCTTCAATAAAGTTAGCTAATAAAAATAAATAAATACTAATTAGTGTAAGATACAACAAATTTTTTTTATTAACAATCAATATTTCAACATTTTTTGTATAAATTAAAAAAAATTCAACATTGAATTAACAATTAGATTTTCAACATTCAATAGAAGTTCTGATACCCTAGGAAAAAAAAATAAAAAAAAAAAGATGCAATTATCTTGAATTTATACTAGGGTAGATACAAAACAATTTATTCACGATCTGGAAACAGTTCATCGTAAGTAAAGTTTTTACAAATACTATTAGCAATTTCTAATACTTTTCTTGAGATTGCTTTCTCAAGTACCGGAATAATAGATTCTAAAATTTCTTGACGATTCGAATTGATGACAGAGTTGATGGCATCTGAAAGAGTTGCACTTGGTGTATCAACAGCTCTAAATTCACATTTGTAGTCACCGATTTTTATTTTGCAAGACATGGTTGTGAAATACAATTGTTGTCCTTTTTTAGTATTTATTAGTTTATATCCAAGAAAAATATCTGCATTGATATCAGCTAGAGGAATAAAATAACAATTAATTTGTGTGTACCTATAAAAATTATAATTACGACAGTAAAATTATGTGAAAGTAATTAAAAACTTACATGTATCAATGTCAATGAATCCAACTCCATGAATTGGGATAAGAACTTTGGCATCAATTTCATAATCACCTTCTACCTTCAATGAATCGAAATGAAGTTTATAAGAAAATTGTTTCTTTTCAAGATCTGCATGAAAATCTGATGCCGAAAACGTTGTTGCATTCCAAAGTTTAACATTTTTAGCTGAAGCTTTGAGATCTACAGCATTGGCAAGAGGTAGTCCTTCAGGTAATAAAAGAGGTTCTAAGGGAGGTACATCAAGTTCTGGTATTCCTTCAAGTAACTTAGCACGTACAGCATCAACACTCTTCAAGATACAATTGTCCAAGTCTGGATCTCTTCGACCACATACATGCAAGTATGATGCTGTTCAACAAAAATCATTTTGTCTTAATTCATTACATAAACTTGATACATTTTAAGTATTTTCAAATTTCTTTTCATTATCACAAATAATAATTTCATTCAGTTACTCACGAACTTCAGCCAAGACAAAAGATGTCAGGAAAATAATATTTATCAATAATCCCAAAGACTTGATCATCTTGAATAACAGAGCGTCTCAACTGTTGTACAAGAATATGACTGTGATTAATCAACAGAGAAGACTCATTTATACCTTCGTTAGATGCATAAAGACTACGTTAGCTGATTCATTCAATAATTAATTCAGGGCCATGGCCAGAATTTATCCTTTACAACATTGTCTCCTTCCCTCCAAAGTACACAAGTTTTCCTTCTATAATAACTGACTTACCGCAGAAAATTTTTCTAATTATTATCAGTAAGCACCAATATATTACACCTTTTTTCTAAACTCACTCACACATGTGCTGTTTGTGTATCTAAATTATTGATATTAGCTTTTTTTTTACACTTTAAGTCTTTTGTATTGACTTTATCATTTTATGTCGTACTGTATAATTGTGACTTTTGAGTTATAATTTGCAGTTATGAAATAATTGAACAATCTTTGAAAAACAGGCATAAAAATGAAATAGTCATTAAATATTTTATGAAATAACTCTTTTCATTTATTGAAAAAATTTCACTTAAAATAACGATTATAAATAACAATTAAAGTAAACATAAAAAACTTAGAATACACTTGAACTCTACTAACAACAAATTCTACAATGACATTAATTATTGATTATAATAAGATCACATTTGATTCTTAAAAAATTGATTAAATAAAATATCATAGTTTATTCTAAACTCTTTGAATATGTTAAATATTTTATTCATGATCAGGGAAAAGTTCATCATACGTGAAGTGTTTACATATTTTGTTAGCAAGTTCAAGAACTTTGTTTGATACTGATTTTTCAAGACTAGGAATAATTCCATCAATGATTTCTTGTTGACTGCTGTTCAGAACAGAATTAATAGCTTCTGAAAAAGTTGCATCCGGTCCTTCACGTGCGATGAAATTCGAATGATATGTTTCAATGGATAATTTGCAAGTCATTGAGGTAAAGAATAGCTGTTTTCCCTTTTTTGTGTTGATAAGACGATAGCGAAGAGTCGTTTTGACATTTACGTTTTCTAGGAAAATAAAAAGTCATTTTTAGTATCTAATGTTTTCTTAAATTCCAAGTAATTCTAATAAAATAACATCTTCCATTCTTACCCACATCAATTTCAATTGGTCCTTTGCCTGATACTGGAACTATAATCCTTGCTGTGACATCATAGTCACCATTTAATTTCAAATGTTTCAAAAAGAGATCTAATTCAATTGACTTTGATTCTAAATTAATATGGAGTTGATTTATTTGAAACAGAGTTAAATTGTGGAGCTTGACATCCTTGGCATGAGCTTTTAGCTCTTTAGTGTCAGCTAATGGTAATCCTTCATCCAATTCTAGGTAATCAAGAGAAGGTACTTGAAGTTCAGGAATTCCAGTACGAAGTACTTGACGTAGTGATTCAACACTATTTTTGATGCACGTGTCTAACTCAGGATTCCTTCGTCCACACACTTTTATGTATGAAGCTACATACAATTTAAAATTAACTTATAATAAATATAATCATTCTAAAAAAGAAAGATGCAATTGCATCTTCATCACACTATCTGATTTTTGAATAAAGCTGTAAAAAATACTCACGGACTTTAGCATAGCTAATAGTGTTGAAAAGACAAAAGAAACAAATTAGTAGTAACTTCATAATGGATAATTATTTGATGGAATAAAATAAAAATTAAAAAGTTCCAATCAGACAAAGGTGTGTGTTTTCAATGAAGATCTAACCAAAAACTGACTACATTTGGGCGATGGGCCAAATATATACCTGCGGTTGAGTTGGCAATGACCACAGAATCGTCCGAGTTGAATTATTTATTAATGTAAGTTAATTTCAGGGCCATGGTTGAGTTAACTAGTAGTGTAGCGTATGTAAAGCATCAAAGTCTCCATTCACTTTATTCATTTCTTCGTTTTTCATATATTCATATTTGTATATACGGATGTTTTTTCCGGTCTTCCTATCTCCTTGTTTTGTGAGTCCAGCAGCAAAATTATAAAACCTTGTATCGTAATTATATAATATTTTTTTTTTTTTTTCTAAAAAATAGAATATAATAAAAGACTAGTTTTTTAATAGCAGAAACAGGAATAATTATAAATATGGAAAAAATTTTAACGAAATGCTTATGGCCAAGAGATGATAATCAAATGTTCCCTTATTCGTAGAGGTCAGAACATCTGGTCAAGTATTCACTTGATTTCTTTCACTTATTATTACTTACGCTAATGACGCGTGATTGTGCAGCAGTGGCATATTTTGTTACGGATCGTAGGATTGGGGTTCTGCAGTTGCATTATTACTTTCGTTGCTTAAGAGATTGTTAATGTGATTAAAAGTTCAATATTTATTACTCCAATGGCAATTTTTTAAATATGTTCACTAAAATAGTAAAAATAATTCATCAAATATTTTTCATAGGTTAGAATTCTTAAATTAATACCATGGAGTATAAACAGAGTATACTATAATGTATACAATAAGAAATGAAAATTTTCATCATCCACAAGATATAGACAAGAATAGAGATAATGACTATAGTTGATTTACTACTCTCTTTTACTTTGGACATTAACCGAACGAAAGCGAGAGTCCGCAAAAGAGTTACTAAGGAAAAGAAAATATCTAACCGCCGGGTTGTCCTAACCATTAACCACACTTGTACATTCTCTATGTTATCTATGTTGCATTTAACGTGTTGTATTACCCCATTGCTGGTAGTGTCGGGGGCTACAACCAATGGCCGTCAAGTGGCACGAGGTAATCAACCTGGCCGAATGCAATAGTGCAATAAATTTCAGGTTTCAACTGGGTAACTTTTGCGAATTCCATCTCATCACTGTTACCTTTGCGAATACGGCGACATTTTATTCCAATCGTGTTTGTCTAATAGCAACGAACGGATCATGATCGTTCTCCCTTACCGCGTGTGGTACGATACTATTTTTTCTTTGCATATAACATTTTAAGTAATTTATAAATATAAATTTTTGTTTAAAAAAAATAATACATTCATTTAAATTGATAATCAAATGACACATGGACACTCGACCTTAAAATAATCTTGATTGTCCTCGGTTAACTGCGACTGCTTATTAATATTCTAAAGGTGATGGGACTGTTGTGACAAGAATCCATTTATTTGTTGTATGGTCATAACGGTAAAATTTTATAAATTAATCATCATTTATCAAAAATCCATTTTCCCTTTGTTTTTATTACCTGCAGTTGAATATAATATTATGATTTATTTGTTTATAACAACAAAGTTCTCTTTCATTCTTACTCATACATCAATTATATAGTCATTTGCCGTACTATTTTTTATTGGTATTGTTATTAGCAATAATCTTTATATAAATAATTTAATAATACAGACTCTAATGTTGAAGCGTATTAATTTGACACTATTTCATTGTGTTTCATGATGTAAATTAACTCAGTAATGTACACAATTAAATATTTCACAATGTTTATCATCTTTATTACTCCTTCTATTAATTTTTCAGCCTTCTAGCAACATTAGTAAATTCTGCATTAGCACTACTACGTAAGTACCGTGTGTTAATATTCATGTTATACCACTGAGGTAAAAAAAAAATCCTAGAAAGAAGATCTTTCTTTAAAAGTGTTTACTTTTCTTAGAGTAAAAAATGAATCTATTAATATTAATCAAATGAATTTTGTGTGTAGCATCTTACATAAAACCATGTAAAAAGTCAGACCCAAATATCAATCAATGTATCACAAATACTATTGAGGGGTTGAGGCATAGATTATCTACAGGGATACCTGAACTTGAAGCACCTGCTATTGAACCACTGGTGTTAGAACGCATACGGTTACTACGAGGACCAGAAGGTGCCAGATTAGATGTTAACCTTACTGACATTCAGGTGCATTCTATTTTTATCATTTATCATTAATCATTCTTTATGACTTTTTATTCAGTTAGTTGGAAACTCTGCAATTAAAGTTTATTCATCTACGTCAATTTAGTTTTAAAACCAAGAAAAAAAATTTTCTTGAATTATAATGACATTTATATGATACAAAAGTCAAATTTTATTATGTATTTACATAAGTAAATTAATTCCACTCAGAGGTCAATTAAAATTTATCACTAGATAAACAAATGAAAAAGAAAATAAAAATTTCATTCATCTTATTCAATATATTTGATGAAAAATTAAATAATTATATCTAGGTGAGAGGTCCATCGTCTTTCAAAATTCGAGACCTTAAAGCCAATCCAGATGATGTCGTCTTCAAGTTTAAAGTCTATTTTGGACAGTTACATTTCCAGGGTAAATACCAAATGGATGCAAGACTTTTATTATTAAGACTCAGTGGAACTGGTGACGTATCTGGAAATTTAAGTAAGTATCATATTTATTAATCTAGAAAAGAAGTTATTGATGTAATTGATGTAAACTTTTACTAAATTTTTAAATAATTATATGTATTTAAAAAATATTGACAACATTATTGCAGAGTAATAAGATAATGGCATATATAAACATACAGACATTAATATAAGAGTGTTGTAATGCAGTTACGTTAGATTTATTAAGTGCATTTTTTTTGTTACAGCCGGTTATGAATCTGATGTAATCTTAAAAGCAGAAAAAATCTTCAGAGGTAACGATATTTACCTGAACTTTGAGAAAATGAAACTAAGTATTAAAATTGGAAAGGCAACTGTGCACCTAAGTAATCTTTTCGGTGGTGATCCTATTCTTGGTAAGTACATTCATCAATAATTATTGCAAACACTTACTTCATGACATATGAGTCATATTATTATGGGTTATTAAATAGTAAATACTAATTGCACGTATTACCTGTTTTTTAATATAAATATTACTTCTACTGGTTATTTCACAGACTAATAATTATTTCATTATTGTAACGTAGCTTCTTATGAAAACTTCATTAATAAAAAAAACTTTTCTACATTCCTGCTGATCTATTTTTTACTTTAATGATGCATAATTGAACATTGGCGCCGAGGATTTTAGTCATAATCTAAAGGTCTGATTGTAGATTTTTTGAATAATTTAAATTTGCTTAAAGAAAAAATTATGTAAAAAAAGAAATATTTTTTTTTTTTTTTGAGAAGCTAATTAAGAATATTTTTATGACTTAATTATTTTATTTACTGACATCCATTATTTTTGATATTGAAAATTATTTTTAGATTTTTTAATTCAATTTCATTGATATTCATGAATACCAACTGGTCTGAATTGATTTAATTACATATTACCTTTGTAATAACGTTATTTTTTTGAATTATGTCCTTTATACATACAGATCAGATTGTTGTGAAATCATACATCGATTTTTTGCTTAATATGAACTATTTTCTTCTCCATTATCATAACTGATCATCATTATATATTAATTTAATATCTTTAATGAAACCCTAATAAAATTAGGTACAATATTTTTTCTTATTTTTATAAAATTAAAAAGTTGAAAAAATGAATAAATAAAACAGTAAGCAAATCTGTTGACTCATACTTCTCGGAAATGGCTCAGGATATATATGTTCAGTATATCTGAACATTTACAGGTTACAAGGTTATATATTTATTTCCTTTTATTAACTTTGTTCATTTATTTACTTTCAAGTTCATCAGGATTTGTCTCCTCATTTTAAGTTGAAACAAAACTAAATAAAAAAAATTTCTTATTTTTACTTATTTTTTTTCTTTAAATCATTTTTATTTTTTCACAAAAAAATTAATTATAAATGATAATGTTTATCAACACTCTCAGGTATTTAAACTATGGGCACTTATGTCAATTACATACGTTTTTACAAACATTAACAATAATAAATCATTACATAAAGAAAACATTCAATATAGACCAGTAATCACAAGAATATTACTTGTGTAATGTAACATAAAAACAGATATAAGTGAGAGAGAAGTAATTTGATGAGCCAATTCAACAAATTTATCATCTTAATATTTCACAAAAAGCATATATTAATTGTCAATGTGTATATATTACATACATGTGAATTAATTAAAGAAAAAAATGAAATTATACATAACACTACTGGTAATTTACAATTCTATTTTACAGGACCTGCCAGCAATCAAATACTTAATGCAAATAGTGATTTGCTGTTGGACGAAGTCCGACCTGTTCTGGAGAGTGCTCTAGCAGATTTATTCACGGAAGTTGCTAATAAAGTTACGAGATCTTTCACATACAAAGAATTATTCCCGGATGATTAAAAAATATTTCAAGTTATTGAGAAATGAAAAATATTGGAGCTCTTTGATGTTGAAACGACTTAGGCATTAATGGTCATTAGTTACCACGAATATGATCAAATGTTGAATTTTATCATGGTAAAATTTCGTCTTTGGTAAGTGCTCCAAGAGCTCTTGCTGCTAATGCTTTGCCAATTGTAGCTGCTGTATCTTCTACGATGGGATTCACAATATCCAATCCTAGTCTTGGATTCGAGTTGAAAAAGGCAACTGCCAATTCCGCTGTCAATCGAAATAGACAAAATCATATATCAACTGAATAATAATTGTAGATGATGTTCTTTTATATTCATAGATTTCTAAATAAATTCGAATAATATTTTCATAGTAATGAAAATTTTAGAATCTGTAAATATAATTGACATCTTAATGTATTACGTAATGTATTAAATAGTTATTTCACCTGTAGCACGAGCTCCTTGAAATCGTGATGTTTTAAATTTGATATTCCCATCACCAACACGAATTTTAGTCACTAATTTATCAAGTTCGACACGTCGAATATTGTTTTTATCGATAATTTCTTTTCCTTCTGCACTCACTCGAACTTGTGTATTTGCTAAATAAAAAAAAAACAAACCGTGTTGTCAAATATTCTCTTTTAGTATGATATCACTGTCTACATATACTAATATACTTACTGAAGTTACCCTTAAATGCTCCATTTTCATTGAAAGGTAGTAGCAAATAATTTCCTTTTATGTCACAGTTTCCCTTAATATGAATGTAAGGGAAATGAAGCACCATAAATACCGCGAGTGCTTTGGGATTTGCTTTTAGCTCTTCTATGCTGTAGTGACTAGCACCATATACTCTAATATTAGTGAAATTGGCTTTAATTTTAATGTCATTGAGATTTCGGTCAATAACAAGCCCAGATAAATTTAATGGATCAAGTTGTGGTAATTTTAATAAAGGTATTCCTTTGGCTAATTGTGGTGTTAATATTTTAAGTTGTTGAAGTACACATTGATTATAATCTTCTGTAGAACTTTCAGATGAACATGGTGTTATTTCTGGTGCTTTATAAATCAAAAATGATTAAAGTTAACTTTTTGAGAAAGATTGAGAAAAAAATTTTAATTTTCAAAAGAGACTTCTTAAGTATCTCTTAATGAATACTCAAAACATTTAATGTGATGGAAATATTTAAATATTCATAAGATATGTAGAAAATTTTAATAACCCTTCTGTAAACTTGTTGAAATATTTTTTATAATGTTAATAGAATCGAAATTTTTTGTTACGTAAATAAAAATACATAGGATTAAACTGTAGATTTTTTAAAGTATATATCATGTGTAATGGTGTCGTTGATTATGTAAAATTGGCATGTATGCTAATTCAAGTTATCGCATAAAAAGTTTATATCATATTCATATGATTTTTCATGTCAATATTTATTACGCAAAAGTTCAGATCGATACCTATTTACATAGGTACAATTGTAATTAATTATGACGAAAATTTATAATTCGTTTGAACGTCTCTATAATTAGTTCATTTTTATTTGTTTTAATGATAAATTTTCATATTATTTGTATTTATAAGTATTAAAAAAAATGTAAATGAAGTTAGTGATATATTTTTGTTACATGTAAATAAAAAACTTAAAAATGGATGAAAATTGATTAAAAATTTTCTAATATAAACTATTAAAAAGTGTTTGATTCAAACGAAAAGTGTATTATTTAGGATAAAATTAATAGTTAAATTTTCGTAAACGTTGTAAAAATTTTTTGTATATGTTATTATTAATTTTTAATTAAAATTAGTTTAAAGTTACTGTAAAATAATTGATTTACTTTAAGAAAATTAAATAAATAGATTTTTTATGTAACCTAAGGGATTAAAAATTACTTACGCAATTCTGAAAATACTGTTTTAGTCCAAGTGAATAATAAAATAAAAGAAACTATTTTGAATGACATTTTAAATATTCAGTAAAGTCAAAAATTTGGAAGAAAATTCGACGATTCAGATGAAATACTGAAACGATGATCGACGTGTCGGACGAGAAAGATTTTAATTATCGAGAGTGTTATTGAAAATGCGTCGATGTCTACAATGAGCGACTATATATAAAGTAAGTGAACTTTCTCCAGTATGTTATCCCTTCCTTTTTTGCAATAGCAAATTTATTACGGTAGAATGCACGCTTTTAACGCAGTCAGGGCCGTATAAAGCTTTATCCTTTTTTAATCATCATTTCTTCCGTCAATTATAATACCCTATGATAAGTTTTCTCATATTCAAGTGTGTCCTATTTTTTCGTATTTTACCTTCATCTTCTCCATCAATCGTATAATACTTTATTTTTAGTTTTTCTTCAATAGGTCAACAAATGATTATCTTAATCTCTTTGGATCTACGACCTTCCAGAGCTCATGATGCAGATCGTTATGTAATGATAGTCTTACGATTCATTTATTAACTTTTCTAAGCATATATTGAAATTAAAATAATACCAGTTTGAGAAATCATTTTATTAGTATATCAGTTATCTATAAAATTAAATACACCATTGATCAAAGAAAAAAATAAATGAATTCAATTATTTGGTAAGTCTTTATACATTTTAAAAATAATGGCATCATTAGTTGTCTCGTTAAGGACTTTTGTCGTCAGGTCATCGACCAACATCGCAGCCACTGCTTCTGCAGCCATTAAGCCTGAAATTGAAAGTTTGTTTTTAATCACAGAAAGACACATCTGAATAATTTTCGATGTCGTTTTTCACTATTTACATATTCTCGACATGCAAGTTAGCCCGAACATCATTGATCGACTACAGATTATAAATTTTTCATTTTAAAAGACGTTTAATTACAGTTTAAAATATCATTAATTACAATGTTTTTTTAAATTTATACTACTTACCGAAACCGGAAATAGACACACTGCAATATGTGTATTACAAATTACGTAAATAATAAATAAGTTTTAATGATATAATATAGTTGAACGATAAACTAAATATTTTATTTGTTTTGAGGATATAATTACTAATTGATGTTTGCAACTTAATTATATTGAAACAAATTATTGCTATAATTTTTGGACGTGGAATTCAAATTTTTAACGATTGAATATTAAAATAAAAATAGTAAGATGCTTCGCGGGTTGATTGTTAATCAAATATCTTAAGATGTCAATACTAGAATGTTATACAAAGGAGCTGACCGGTGACTTTCATTGAAAGAATTTCACTGGTCTCGATGTTGTATGTGCGACGACTTCTGCATCGACATATCAGTAAAACTAATATATATATATATATATACCTTGAGTTAAAATTTCTTTTACTGGTCCATTCTCGTTCATTCCCTGGAGATTGACATTCTTGCTCTCGGCAACGAGTTTTGCCCTAGTTGCCCGTACCATCAATGAAGAATCTCCAATTTTCCTCAATTCAACGGTAAAGTAGCCAATTAATTCCGCTAATTATTTGGATTTAACGAAATAAAATAAATATAAATCCAATTAATATTTATCAAAGGTATTAAAAAAAATTATCAATATAAATTCTTACTAAATTCTCCATTGAATTGACCATTGCCACGCAGAATTGTTTTTTCTACGGTTCCCATAAGATTGTAATCTGCTTTTACTTTCAATAAAGGAACACGAATCTTTGCCACTACATGAACAATGTCATCCTTATGGAAACGAAAAAGTATATTTTTTTAATTAATTGAATAATAATTTTTTTTTTTTTAATTATCATAATCAATAAAATTGTACCTCATTATCACGTTCGACATGTGCACGTTTTGTTCTTTTCACATCTAACATTTTCGAATTATTTTCATTACCATAATGATACTTAAGCTCCATCCCTTCTTCAAAATACCCATGCTTCTCTTGAAACTCTCGTGCATACCTAATTAAATCATGAATCCTTTTACTTTCTAATGCTGTACGCATTTGATCGTTTTTCTTCAGTAATAATTCTTCTTCAGTGAAATTATGAATTATAAATCTTTTATGATTATCTAAATCCTATTAAAAAATCAATAATTGTTTTGAAAATATATTTTTATTTAAAAAATGAATGAATAAATTCAAAATAAAACATACCCTCAAAACATCTTCAATACTATAAACAGTTTCATTTCCTTTTTTTTCAACAGTCAGCTTGCCAAAATGAGGTTCTTCTTGGTATTGTCTTCTGGTATAAACAATGTCTACAAATCCAGGTTGATTTTCCAGTCGTGATGACTGGTGATCATGATGTGAACATGATTCAGTACTACTTTCAGATGAATGTCTCATTGAATTTCCTCTATTATTATAACTTCGATAATTTTGATTATTTATAGAAACATCAATAGTTCCTTTTGGATTTTGTTGATTTGTAGATTGTTCACCATGAGATCTTGATCTATCCCGACTATTAATATTCATTTGTTGATGAGCATACACCAAGTGAACAGGACGATCTTCGTTCTCTCGATTATGAACATTTGGACGTGGGGTAGTAGAGTGGTAATTAGTGTATTTAGTAGTTTGATATTGATGATTATGATAATTGTGTTGTTGGTGCTGGTAGTCATGTGAATTAGAACGATCATTACTTTGTTCATTATATTGTCTATTATTACCAAATTGATTCCGTATCTCATCATCTTCTCGATTGCGATAACGTTCACTTCGATACTGTTGATATTGTTGATAACGAACTGGTTGTCTATTCTGATAATTATTCTTCTGCTCTTCATTTCGGTTAGAATGAGCTCTGAGTGATAATCCATCATCTTGATTTCTGCTACGACTACCATCTCCGAATTTTTCAATAGACTCGACTCCTAATTTTTCTGAAGTCTGATCAGGTTTATTTGATTCTTGATCTGCTGTGTGAAATCTGTATCTAATAGAATCAATGATATTCTGATCTGTGTAAGTAACATATCCAGCTTCTTTTTCACTAGAATTTGATTTAACACTTCCTCGTCCAATATGAATACTCTCTAATGTTGATGAATTGAGTCCAAAAATTTGAACGTTACTTAACATCAAACGATAACTTGTATGGCCATGGGATTGGTCGACTTTCACTTGAGGGATACGTAATGGATCTAATGATCCAATATTTGATAAGCCACCATTGAGAAACTTGGACCAAAGCGTCCGAGACATTTCCAAGAGATTAGCATTGCTGAGGCTTAATGTAATAAGGAAAAAACACAGAGTATACGACACCATTGTAAGGTGATTAATTTAATTATGATTAATTATAGTCTCTCCGGTATTCCAAGTTATAGTTGGCTGATATATAATTAAAAGAACTACTGCAAGAATGATGAGTACGGTTAATATGAATGAAATTAAAATACACATATACAAGTTCTAATGAAATTAATCATACTTTGACTTTTTTTAGTTGAATAAAATTCGTGTTGTTGCGTTGATAATGAAGTTTATCACTGTACGATAATAATGGACCATATGTAAGTTTTATAGAGATTTTATAGAGAAATGGACATATAGTAGGGTGTCAATCTGGGCCATGGACTATAATTAGCGTATGTTGTTGTGGTTTGAATCTCGATCATTTTTCCCCTCTTTTGTAGTGATATTTAACTTCTGAAGTAATAGAGGACAAGGTTTTCTGACAAACTCACCTCTACAATCACATTGATAGATGAACATCAAATAAATAGAAAATAAAATGTATCTCTTCTTCAATTTTTAATTGACTACATAGAAATCGAGCAATTCATCTATGCAATGATTACTGTTTAATTACATTAATTTTAATATAAAATAATGTTAACCAAAAACATTTTGAAAAATGTATCGAATTTTATCCTTCAATTTAATAGTGTGATATTAAATGGATTTATGAGTCAGAGTCCTCGAGCAAAAATCTAGGTAACTTGTATCTATTTTAAATCAACCTAAATGATGACATGTTTAAAATCGTAATCATGTGATTCAAAATCAAGTGATAACTTTTCTTCATTTGTATGAATTTTTTAAGACAATGTCATTGATTTTATGCTATTCAAATATTAAATATATTAGTTTTTTTATATTGATGCCACCTGTGCATTTAATTTTATATCAAAATGGAAAAAGTAGAATAAAATTACCAATAGTTGTATGACAATACATCATAGATTCTACTTTATCGATAATTTAAAAGTAAATTTAAATAGTGATTTTGTTTATTTTATTCTCCGTTTAATTCATAAATTAAAAAACTTTAATCAATCAATTAATTTATCGATGACATTATTGGTTGTTTTATTTTCGAAATTTTATTCAAAAATGACATTTGATATCACGGTGATTGTAGCGTCATCTGGACAAGAATTACCAACTTACCCGTATCAAAATTATTGGGTACAGTGTTGTGTTCGCTCATGGACCTTTAGAAACTTCCATACATTCGTATCCAGGCTTTATTTTGGAGTAATTTATTATATAATTAATCTAATCAACCTTGAGCTCAATTAATTTTTTTTATATGTATAGATGATCGCTTTAACAGTTGTTTTTATATTTTCAAAATAATAAATAATTGTTGTTATTTAATTATTTTTTAATGTGTTCGAGCCTTTGTAATCTTAATTGATTCATTAGTGATAATATCATTTAAATACCCTAATAATTAAAGAATCATGATTATTTATATGATGAGAAAATAGATATATTTGTGTATGAGTGATTGAATAATAAGCACCAATATATATATATACAATAAGCAATAAAATGTCTGGATTATTCAAGATATTGTTAAACAGTGCAACGTTATGGATATATCTGGAAGCAATTTGGTATTTTTTTATCAATATAGTGTACTATTTTTCAATTCCACGAATTATATGGGGTTCCCTTATTATTGTTGTTTTAATGTGGTTTATTAAGAATCCACCTCCTAATCCAAAAATTGTTAATCAAGTACTGGGTGTGGACCCTTTTACTTTACAAAAGGATGAACTAACCAGTGAAAGTTTCAGTAATGGTGAATCATTTTGCATGAAAGTAATTGCCCACCGAGGTGGGGGATACGATTATCCAGAAAACAGCCTTTCAGCCTTCGACAATGTAAAGTCTTATCTAGTATCTTCTTACAGTTCATTAATGTACAAGAAAAGTAGTCATTAGTTTAATAAATAATCATTTAATACTCAGTAAAATGATAATAGCTTTGTAAAGTTACACATAATTTGATTAAAACTTTTTTTTTTGATTTACAAAATTGTTTATTTACTCTATTTGTTTATAAATTATTGAATGTCATAATCTAAATAATAGTAGTAACTACTTTACATTATTAATTTTTTTTTTTTTTGTTAATAAAATGGATAATTAAGTATGCTACTAACATATTGGTAGTAAAGGAATATTTTTTAAAATAAAAGTAATTGTCTACAATATAAATCAAAAGTTGTTTTTATTATTTACAGAGTAAGAGAAGAGGTTGCAATACAGTGGAGTTTGATCTTTCACTTACAAAAGACAAAGTTCCCATTGTTTTTCATGATTCAACAATTGATCGACTTACTGGAAAGAGTGGAGTTGTTAAAGATATGACATGGGATGAATTAAAACAATTAGACATCAGCTATAATCATCCTTTAAAGTAAGCGTAACTAATTACTATTTAATTGTTTAAATAGTAACACTTCATAAAAGAATGTATTTTCTTTTTATAAAGCTCTAATATTACTATTTTTATTTCTAGGGAAAAATTCGAAAAGACTGAAACAATTTTACATTTTAATGAAGCAATTGAACAATGTTTAAATTTAAATCTTCATTTATTTATTGATATAAAAGATCCAAGTCTGGAAATAGCAAACATAATAATTGATGCTTATAAAAAAAATCCGAAACTATACGAAAAAGCTATTGTTACTAGCTTTCATCCATTTATAGTATATTTAGTAAGGATTAATTTTAATATTCGTTTCCTTATTTCGATCATATTTTATAATTACCTGGTGAATTACAGATCAGAAGGCGAGAGCCAAAAATTATAGCAAGTTTATCGTACAAACCAAACTGTTTTTCAACTTTTTTATATGAAACATTTGATAATATGTATGGGCCCATTATATCTAAAGTTCCATTTAAATACTCATTAGTAAAATTGTTTGATGTTTTTTATGAGTGGGCTTTATCTCGATTTACATATTTTATACTTGGAATTTCAGTTATTTTGCTACACAAAGATAATATTAGCACGTAAGTATATACAATAATATTTTAATAAACAATAACTTCATGAAATTTGATAAAATAAATAAATTTATTGTTACAGGAAAGTAGTAGAGAAATGGCACTCTCGAGGAGTTCGAGTAATTGCTTGGAGTGTTAACTTACCATCAGAAAAATTATATTTTTCAAAAACTTTAAAAGTCACATATCTTACAGACACTTTATTGAGTGAAAAAATTACATAATTATTTTTGACAGTAATTTTCTTATATTTTTGATTCATAAGCTTGAAACAATTGCTAACAAAATGACACAATTTCTTATTTCAGTATTAATAAGTACCTTAGTATGTATGCATGAAAAATTAATTTTATATTCATAATTTTATATTATATCTAGTCCAAACCAATTTTAATATAAAAAAATATCAAATAAATGAGCAAAATATTTATTCAATTATATTTTTCAACTAAGTTTATTTCATATTTTCATATTAATTGCATGATTTATTTATATATTTTTTGAAAAAAATAAAATGTGTATAATTTATAAAAGATGAATTACAATAAAAATAGTTAAATGATTCATAAATTGTTTTATAAATGAATTATTCACGCGTTGGTGGATTACTTAAATTCATGCACTACCCACGAGAATACATTATATTAAGAAAATATGTAGTCTACAAATGATGAAAACCATAACTTGTGACGTGTGGATTAGCTCTGCTTAGTACATAGCAGTGTCTTCAGCAGTCTTTAGTGTCTTACCGTCTCTCAAGAGGTTACGTTCACTTAGTCGCAAATGTACCAGTGTATTTTGATGTTTGATATTTCACCTAATACTATCAATTGGACTTTCTTAAAAATATTAAAGCAATATCTTTTGAAGGTTATGTTTTAAATCTTGAAGTATTTTTTGCATTTTTTGGTATTAAAACGTTATTTATTTATAATTAATGTTTTAAAACATTTTGTTAAGTGTTCGATTAAGTATAGCTATGTGTGATAAATATCTAAAATATGGACAAATAACCAATCATATGTAAAAACTGAGATTATGAGTATTTTTCATTTTTGGAGTAACTTTTTTTTGGAGTAAACATACATATATATGATCCATTTGTGTATGTGTAATATAATTGCGAGGATTGAAGGCCAAAGGTAAAAATGATTCCATTGTAATTTAGTACGTCTTAACAAATAGACACTTCTTATATATGTATATATAAATATCTATATTTTTGTATATTGTATAATATTAGGGCGCGGTTCTTGCTTTTTTTTTAATTTGACACAAATTTTCAATTATTCTATTTTTAACTCAAGCATCTATTTTTACAGGTAGAAATATACAAGAGGAATAAGTTTACGTTTGATATCAATAAGTCAATGGAACAGTGGAAATGCAATAGTAAAATCCAAGTACTGAACGATTCAGAATCTTCATTACGAAATTCAAAATTAAATTCCTTAACATTAGAAAGGAAAAAAGAGAAAAAATGGACGTTTGGGGGATTACTTAAACGTATCTCGAAAAATGAAGCCACTGAAAATTCTATTATTAGAGAGTCTGGTGAAAATCATCAGCAACAAGCAGTCTCAGATGTCATTAAACGAGAAAAGAATAATTATCAAGACAGAATTTATACCAAAAACAAAAAAAATAATTATCACAATTCTATACCATATTATGATATTAATATTAATTTAAATAATAAAAAAAATGTTTTGAATAGTTTTCAAAAAAATAAAAAAAATCGTATCAAAACTCGACTCAAAGCAAAGCGTGATCAGTATTGTGGGAGTAGCAGTTCTGATGAACAAACTGAATCGAGTAATAAAAAAAATAGTACATTGCTACGAGTCCAAAGTGAAGACAGTATTAATTTAAATAATTTTAAAAATGAAAATAACAAAAAAACACGAGCAGCCAGAACTGAAAGGTATATGAAACGTCTGTATCGAGAAGATATAAACGAAGGTAATAATCATGATTCAATTAAAAGTAGAATAACAACAGATATTCAGTTATGTAAAAATGGAAAAAAATCTTTATCTGATACTTTGCCATCAAGTTTATGGGCAAAAAATGATACTTTAAATCAACAGTCGTGTGTAAAATTACCAGCACGTTATTGTCCATCATATTACAGTGATCAAAATCTTGAAAATGTTTTTCCTAGAAAAGATACTGATGCTCCAATTGATTTACGTAATAATGAACTATTTTATAATGATAAATATACATGGCCTCAAAACAGAAAAAATAAGATTACTTCAATTAAACAATATAAATTCTTTCAATTGGATGATACGGGCAATCATGGAACGAATAAAGATCAACCTCCTACTCCTCCACCAAGATCTTCGAAATCACGGATTTTATTTTCTCCAACAAGATTTTCTCTACAGCAGTCAGATATAGAAAATAACGAAGAACAAAATAATCGATATCTTCAATCGTTTATTAGCAGTAATAGTAGTAATTATTGTAATTCTCTTGATAGAGTACCAAAAAGAAAGCACGCAAATTCTTATCGTAAAATAGAGAAATTAGAGATACCACCAAAAAATCAGGATATTAAAAAAAATCATATAGTTGAAGAAGATCCAATTATTCCGAAGATTAAACCTCGATTACATTCGAATATGAGTGGTACAGAAAAAACATCTTTGGGTAATAGAAAATTAGAACATAGAAGACATTCAAAAAATTTAGAGGAGGCATTACTTGAATTAGAAACAATATACAACAGTTTACGTTTAAGTGACGAGAATTTACTTGATCGTGCTGAACAACGAAGCATGGAAGAATATAGAAACCGAGTAACAACAACAGCTATAGAAGGATCGATAAAAAGTTTATCGGATACGTCGTCGTCATATGAGTTGAGTTGCCGTCATGCGAATTTCGATCGGTGTCACGACTGCGACACGAGATTAAAAGATGACATGGCTTACAGGCGAATGCATCAAAATGATAGACCACCTTCAATAGATCCCAGCCAGAGTTCATTATCGAAAGTCAGTTATTTGACTGCATCACCTAATTTAGGCCATAGGAACGTGGATTATTTGATTGATAGACCAAAGAGCCGTCGAGGAACACCAGATTTAATTTATGATGATGTAGTTTTTCGCAATATAACTCACGCAAATAATACACTAAAAGTAGTGGATCCGCAACCACCGTTTGGAATTCCACTTGGACCAGTTACTGCTGCCTCTGAAAGTGATTATTTACATGTTGAACCATCACATGAACGAGAATCTCAGTCACGATCTTTATTTATTCCAAAATCGGAGCCAGATATTATAACTGATGACTTGGCATTTCGAAGTCTTCGTGCAGATAGAAAAAATATTTTTAAAGACAAAACAACTTGCACAAATTTTTTATCAACAAGTGAATTTACTACAACTCCTAAAAAGAAACGTGCCGTTAGATCATTATCTGCTGATTTATATGGGATTATTGAAAAAAATAGTGATAATCATACTTGGTATAAAAAATACATTAAATTAAATAAACCTTCAAAATTTGTTAGAGATTCTAAAAAATCAAGTGATGACGACGACGAAGATGAACATACTAATACTTGGATTCATAAAAAGTTTTATGATATTGATATCAATGGAAATCGTCCGAAAAGTATGTGTCAAGGAAGAATTCAAGTTTGTATACCTCAAGAAGCGGAGGAGGAAGAAGAGGAAGAACCAAAAGAACATAATAATTCAGAAGTAGATCAACTGGAAATTGAAAATAATAAACACGAAACATCGTCATCTTCATGTATTGAAAAGAATACTACAAATTATGAAAGTATTCCAGCGTTTAGTGATCAAGAACTCTCAGAATATCAACAACTTTGTAGAGATCTCGAATGTTTAATCAAAAAGACATCAGAGAAAGTGAAATATATGGAAACAAAAAACAATAGTGATTCAAGAAAAAATTCTCTTTCTGAATTCATCGAGTGGGAAAAACTTTTGAGCCAAAACGACTCATGTTTAGAGGATAAAAGAGTCTATGAACCATTGAAATTAAGAAGTACAGACGAAACAAATACAGAAGAGAAAAACAGCAGTAAAGTTTGTAAATCTTTACAATCAAATAGTGAAACATCGGATTCTCAGGAAATTTTTTTGCCAACCGTAGAAGTAGAAAATGAACATCAAAATAATTATGTTAATGAAGAACATGATAATAATGGTAATAATAATCTAGATGATAATTATGAATCTTGTAATAATAATAAAGATTCTAATAGCAATAACAATAACAATGATAATTTATTGTTTATAAATACAAATGTATTTGATCAGACTTTAAATACTTTTGATGAAATCAATCAAGATACTAACACTGTTAATAATTCAGACGAAATATCGTCGGATGAAAAAAAAAATTTCAATGATCTTGAACAGATAAATAACAGCAAAACAAAAAGTGCATTTGCTAAATCGCATAGAGCTTCAACATCTCCACCACTAGAGGATCATAAAGCCCTTAATAACATAATAAATTCTACAAAGAATAGTGAAGGTGAGGAAAATAGACACGAATGTCTTCCTGTAATGTACAACGCATTAGCGAAATCAATGAATGTTTGCTTTATTACTAACTGCTTGTCAGTGTATTCTGTTGTCTTATGGCCTTTGTGTCTAACACTATTGCTAATAGCAATAATAGTTGCATTGTGAATTGTAAGATAAGTGCTATAAGATGGTTGGATTGATAATTTACATGCAAGTACAAATAAAACTATAAAATAAAAATAGTTGATTGACGTGATATGCATTTTGTAATATAATTGAATTGTTATACTTATCTATTCATGTATATAATGTCGCAGGTCGAGAAACTACTCAATGATGCGTTGGTGCGTTGTTGAACAATGTACTTGTATGCCACAGGGTGTATTTCATAAAATATTTAAAAATTAACAAATGGACCGTTGGAAAACTACATAGCTGTTAAGTTTAAACGAACAATAAAGTTGTAATAATTTTTTTGAATAAAATTATATTATTCTTACCTTTAGCTATTATTTTTTTATTGGAGCTTCATATCATTTAAGAAAGGAAAAAATATTATATAACAAGTTAAAAATAATAAATAGTTTTTTTTTTAATTTCAATACGGATATCGTTTGATATAATTAAAAATTTTCATCTCCATATCAATGATTTCCATATGTATTCTCAGATTTCTATTATAAATTCTGTTGGAAATCGATAAACAGACAGTACATAATATACTTGATTTTGTTATAAGAGACAATAATTATTATGATAGATGTGGAGATCAAACTTTCTCAATAGGATTGAAATGGTAGGGTTTAAAGAAAGTGAAAAAATAATAGAATAGTTTTTAAAACATCTTAAAGTTAACATTTCTAATAATAATCTACGAAAACAATTAGTTGAATTTTTAATAATAATAATAATTTGATGAAATTTATTTATCGCGATTCTTAAAAGTGAATCATTCACTTTACATTCTGTCCATAGTAAAATTTAAGCCGTCGAAAGAGACTAATTAAATGTACGATGGCCACAAATCGACGCGACGTCAATTTTAATTTCGCTCATGCTCCAAGTATTAATGTCACACAATTATCGATAGATGACAATATTTTAAAAGAGATTTTAGCATCATGCAAATCATCCATTTATACAATGATTTTGAATTTATTTATTTAAATACATATTATTTTTATAAACTGAATTTAACATAAAAAAATTTGCAAACGATAATGAAATAGTTTACACACAAAAAAGAGGGTTTATTGATTTTTTTTTTTCAAATGTGGACTGTAAATCATTTTACGGTTTAAAAACCCTCTATTTTTTGTTATTTTATATACAACAATATACTATTTAGATCTACATGTATGTACATTTACATATATAATAATAATCGATGTCAACAATGATTTTTTTTTTGTTTTAAACAATAAAAGTAATTTTTTGTAACTCTTACTCCAATAAGATTTAAACATTTCTTTTATATATTGACATCGATTGTAAGTTTATTATATAGAGTTTATGATATTAATATCACATTGAGAAAAAAATTTATTTTCGTGCAGAAAATATATTTTATTCATAAAAATTGTCTTAAGTTTGATTATTATAGCATTAATATGAAAAATTATGCCAATAAAAAACAAATTTATTTTCAATCATCTATTCTTAAAATCATTCATAACTATACTAATATTTGCGACAATTATTTTTTACTACCATTATTAATTGCATTTGAAAAATTTTTTAGTTAAAATTTTAATATGAAATAAGGTATTTATAAATATTGGAATAATTTAATCGTAGAATATTTTTGATAGATCATTAAAATAAAAATCATGTGATAAAAAAATATTTTTCATTGGTATACACACATTATTGTTTACGTACAAAAGTAAATTTTCTTTTCAATGTTGATAAACAAATGATAGAGACGAAAAATGAAAGACTAATAAAATAATAGAAGAAATTTTTGTTAAATTTACCCCAGTCATTTTACATACAAATATCACTTGTCTATACCTTTTCGATTGAATTATATTTACTTTATAGCTGTTGTTTATTTATTTCTCTTTTATCATCTAAAATATTATTATTATTATTACATAATATTATTCTATATATGATTTAATTACAATAATATTCACGATTTTTATTTCTTATTTATATCTACATACAATTTTATTTGCAATTAAATTTTTTTGATTCAATATTTAGTAATTATAATATAATAATTAATCAGAGAATGATGATGTTATGTATAATGGAGATTCGATGAATCGTATATTTATTACGCTTATTAATATTGCCATAGTCATGGACAAATGAACGACAATAATTGTCATTTTCTTATTATTTTATTTATTTCATTTTTATTAATATTGACAAGATACTTCAATGAATGGTATAAAAAATTTACGTATTCATTATTCCAATTATAAACATATAGTATTTTTTTGTTAATATTTTATTTATATTATATTATTAATATATTAAGATCTCCAGTATATTATTTATTATAATAATAAATAATTCTGTCAGTGGAATTAAAACCTTTCAATAATCACTATTTCTTATATGAATAATAAATCTATAGAATTATTCATAGTTTATATAAGTATACCGTATAATCCAGTTTATGGGAAGTAAAAGTGGATTTATGAAAAAATAATAAATTGTATGTAATAACATCTGCTATTTTGAGGTTGCGCTTGGAAGGACATTGTTTATTGTTTATTGTACGTTCATATACTGTTTGTTCGGTGTAAAAATATAAAACATTTCAATTACAGACTTTTTTTTGTATATATGTATGCTGTCGCTGTTTTGCGTTACTATATATGGATATTACGGTATTCTTCGATCACTTTTATTTTTTAAATTTAATTTTTTTTAATTTTATTATTATCATTATCATCATTACTATTATTAATTTATATTATTCATTTTTCATTTATTTATATTTATTCATTATACTTTTCATCACGCTAATGCATATTATTCCTCTCAATCAATTATAAATAAATCAAAATTTAAAAATATTCATACGTTAATTTTTATTGTTTTTCAATATGTGAAAATTTGATTTTATGAAAGATGACTTTTTCAAGTGGACGATTCGTAATTTGTTTTGTTGTATTATATCAACTATTTTATCAACTGGTATCCATTAATTATATTGTGAACACCTTTCATTCTAATCACTCAAAAATAAAACCATGTTTTAATTTAAAATGACTCCTGATGGATATTGTAAATTATATGTTAAACTTGTCATTTGTTGTAACAATAAAATGTTTTAAAACAATTTGTTTTTAAATATATTGTCTTGATATATGTATATACAAATTAGAATGCATATGCATATATATATATATATGTGTCGGTGTGTATTTATATGTATAAATAAACTGTATTTAAATCTTGTCTTAGATCAAGACACCGCTATATAGGTATAGGTAAATGCCAGACGAGAGTCTAGACGGTATCGAATTTGGATATCAAGGTCGTTTAGTTGATGATTCATCCATTTGAATTCTACAACGTGATTCTTGCCCATACGTCATACTAACATTCACTTACTAATGTAAAAATTTTTTACGTGCTCAATCTCTTATTTAAGTGTATTGATTTTTCTATCTCTTTTATTCCTTGAAAAAATAATAATAATCGTTTTAGATATAATAGCCATAATTATTTGATTATTTTGAATGAAATGAAATATTTTTTGCGAACAAATAAATCAACTATCATTGGACCAAGTAAATAATGAAGATAAGTTCTTTTTAATTGAATGACTAAAAAATGGTATGTTTTTCTTCTGTTTCTCTTCTTACACGATTTTCGGTCTTTTGCCAACTTGAATCAAGCTAAGACGTAATTCCCTCCCGTGAACGGACCAAAAGCATGGGACGCAAAAACGGTCAGACTCCGATTCGAAGGTCACCGGGCAACATTGGCGTAGATCTCTCTGTACATGGGTCTCTTTTGTGATGCACACTAAAATCATTGGAATTTTCGCAAAAAAATCATACTCAATATGACGATTTTAAATTCGACAATATATGAATTGTTGAATACGAGAATAGTAAAGAAATATATATATATATACATCTATAGAGGATGATTTTAGTCAATAAATAAGTATATTAAAGTTGTCTGGAGCAAGATTGGAGCAGACACGATCAGCCGGCCGAGACAAGTCTGACAACAAACGACCCTCTATAACTGGACGAGGATGAGAGATACAGAAAGAAAAACAAAGTTCCAAGCAGGAAGTACCTGGCCACCTAAAAAGAAAAGCCCTCCGTCACCCGCCTTGAACCTGGAGTGGAGTAGTAGGCCAAGTGGAAGGAACTTCCGCGGAATCTTTTATTTCGTTCAAGCTTTGCGACCAAACTCTCTCTTTCTGTCTTTCTTTCTTTACTTCTCTCCTCTGTTGAGCGTTTTACGGGGTCAAATAAAATGTAAAAGAGAATCTGTTGCGGTTGCGACGTCGGTGTAACACGGGTTCGGAGGATTTTGCCTTAACCCTCTTCCTTACTCTCTCATTCTCTTTTATTTTATCCTTCTTTTAGTTTTTTATTCTTTTATTCAATCTTGCCTTTGAACCGCATGACGCTCCTGATCGTCGCGACTTTTGGTTCTCAACTACTGTATCTACTAAAATTACCATCACTTTCTCGTATCAATTTGTAAATGACATTATAAAAACATTTTTAACTTTTAATTATATTTTCTACATACAGGTGAAAAAATTCCCGAGTCAATTGGTCGTGAATTATTGATTGAAATATTTCAGTGCATTTTATGCCAACTAAAAGACAAGTCAGGTAAGAAATGTTTAAGATGAATGAGAAACACTGATGAGGACCGAGACATGCTGGCTCAAGGCCACATGACGGACCCACTCCCCCGCCGACCGCGAGTCCGAATCAAGGGCGTTCTCCCTACCCACGTACTTCATCAACGAGTCCTGTCTCGATACCCCTACTTTCTGGGCCTGCTTCGGGACTTATATTGCAAAAGATTGACTTTAAACTCTTTTCTCCACAGACAATGTCACGAATACGTTGCATTCTTTCACTAATACATTTTATACTGAAGTCAATCTATTTTTATTTTCATACTTTCTCCTAATTTTATTATTACTTTATATGAAATTATAAGTTTATTTAATTTTTTTTAGTGATTGGTTTACTCTAAAAATGCATGTCAGCATGTAAATCATATTCTGCGCCACTGTTTAAATATAATAACTATTTTTTATCTGTACTTTTTTACATAATTTATATATTATCTCAATTTTTACTTTCAAGTAGTATTTATAGATATTGTTAAAAAATTATTATCACATATTAAATATAATATTGGCGAAAGAATAAATAATTCAATCGTGTCTGCTCATTAACATCTGTAACTACTTACAGTAGAAAAGGTACGAGTATATAAACAAAAATAAATACTCAGAATAGAAACGATTTGTATTAATGGTATTTAGTGTGATTCCCCGTGGGTTTAAGATGTTTTTAACCAGGTGTGTGTTATTCAGTCAGACTTGGCAAAATATATATTGAGAAACCGAAAGTGCGATCACGCGAAAATCTAACGTCCCGCCGGTTTAACCGGTCTGACCGGATTCAGGACGCGAGTAAGCAGCAATTGCGAGACGACTGACTATAAGACGCCCAAATTCTCAATCTGAACTTCTTTTATTCGTTTGACATATCAACTTATCCCCCACTAAAAATAATCAAATCATTAACAACGCATAATACATAATAATAATAATAAAATTAAGTATGAAATAATAATAAAATAAAATAAAACAACACATGAATTAAAAACCCGAAAAAATATTGCGTCTTTTTTTTTTATTGTTGTATATGTTTTTATTTCGTATAAAAAGAGTGAAAATAAGAAAAAAAAAAACAGAACACGCTCGGTGTCAATGCAAGCTCTAATCACAACTGACATCCATGTATCGTTAATAATAGATAATTTAATATTGTAACTTGAGAAAGTATATAACGATATTCATTTTTTTTAATGATCTTTGGGAAAAGTGTTTTTAAATTGTAGATTAAAGCTTGCTCACTCGAGACACTCGTCAGTCACAAAATAACATATTTATATAAAACGTAAATTAATATAAATCCTTCCTTTTATTCCACATTTCGTTCAGAGTATGTACTTAGTACTGAAGAAATCTTATTCCTTTGCACGACTTGTATCTGACATCACAAAAGCACCGAATTATTGCGTGACTCAATAAAATCTATAATCATAGGTTTAAATTACATTAAACATTTTTTTGCGTTTTTTTGTTTTTAAATTATAATTACTTAGTAGAATAGATAATATTTATGGCAAAATCACGCATTCATTCGTTACTTAAATTTCATTTAATAAATTATTAATTTCATCTCAATTGCATACTAACATAGCTACTTGGCACCGTGGTCACTTTAAATTCAACGACAGTGGAACGGTCACAAGATGCAATGTATTTTAACTGTCGTCCAATAATAGATAATTTATTGCACCTATGTATCGCGCAATATTTCAAATATCTAAATTTTTTTTAATTAATTTGTTTATTGATCGTTTTAATTTTGCTTTAATTTTTGTTATTTTGTTTTATGACTTTATCAAACTTTGTCTTTGCTAATTTTTAATTAAAGCTCAATTTTGAAGCGTCCATGCGCATCGCCGAAAAAAAATATAATGCTATAAGTACAATTGAAAAACATTTCTCGTCTTTTAATGATATAAAATATGAAAAATAATTAACACAAATGATTTACATTCACAACAGTGTCAATTTTAAAAAAAGATTTAAAAGAATTATTTGAAAATTTTTCTTTAAAATTAAAATAAAACTGTTGGACGCATCATCCCATTGCTTAGTCAAAGGCTTTTAAGGCCCAGACTATGAGTCTTATAAAGAGAAAAAAATAATTTACATATTTGATATATGTATATAAACTTAACCTAATATATCTTGAGCATTTAATAGCTGAGGGGGATGTTACGCCCAATAGATATTCATTATTTCAAACAGATTATGTTTTTATTACATTCATTCATTAACTCTCTTAAACACACTTATTACTGCACTCATTCATTAATAATTTTAAAATGTATATATAGATATATATATATTTATATGTGTATGTATGTATATATGTATATATACACAATTTTTTTTTTTACAGGTATAGGAACAAAAAACTAAAAACTATGTTTTTAAAGCACAATAGCTATAAACGAGAGCAACAGTTAATTTCGAGTTTGATATATATATAAAAAAATACAAAAGCACCTTCCGGAGCATCGAGAAGGCTTGATCATAGCCATAATAGATAAACATACCACATTAGCTTATTTGTTTAAAAAAAAATGATTTAATTTTGTCACATCGCTCGAATATCACATGACGTAATTTTTCATTCTCTCTTTTTGTGACTGCGAGATTAAATTGTTGGTATACATAAAATAATATTTATACTATTAATAATAACTAAAAGACATCTACAATTTTTAATACAAAATAATAATAATAATAATAATAATAATAATAATAATAATAATAATCAGCGTAATTTTCGATAATAATAAAAATGTAGCAATATAATAATAATGAAGGTAAAAACTCTAGTATAAAAATTAATTATTGCAAGATTTGCAAAATTTTTCTAAAACTTAACGTAATTAATAATAATTATAATTATAATAATGATAATAGTAATATTTATAATAATAATAAAAACGTGAATAATAAGATAAAATTAAAATATTATTAGAAATATTAATAATAAAGTCCGCAGTAACAATCGATTACTTAAGATGAAAAAAAAAAAAATTGTAAAATTGATCCTAAGTATTTTTTTTTATGATGTAGGCCACATTCTTCAAAAAATTTTTAAGTCTACCAAACTGACTTATTGGCAAGAGTCACTATCAACGTTCTATGATGACATTCAAGTTATCACTGATATTTTTTTTCGTTATTTTTGAATTTTTAATTCCGAAACAACTGTAAAAATGCAGAAAGTTTAGTAAATAATAATAAGTACGTATTTGGTGTAAAATGTTGTCATATTTAAGCAACTAATAACTTGGGTATCATTTTTAAACGCAAAAATTTCAAAATAATACAGTTTATGCTCGTGACTCATTTTTCAAGAACAGAGAGCGTGCGTTAATGAAATGTACTGTAAAAGACTTTGTGCGTGAAATCTTGTTTTTTGTTTTCCTATGACAAAACAAAAAAAAAAAAATAGTTCAAATATGTCACGTAAATTATTGAGTTGATTATTAGTAGAGTTTTTTTTATGATCTTAATTGTTATATGACGCGTGATCTGAAGATAAAAATGACTTGACAGTTATATTGATGTGTACATTTTGTTATTTATATAATAAAGTATGAAAATTCATTATCAACGATCAATATGAAATCAATTCTTTAAAAATTATGTCAACAAATAAATGGCATATAATGGCAACATGTATAGTTTCTTAAATGGAAGGAGCTATTGTTTTCATTTTAACGGGTAATGGTTTAATCAAGTAATCTTTATTTTATAAAAAAAAAAAAAAAGATATTTCATATTTAAAATGTAATAGAAAAAAAGTTGATAACTGTAACCATACAGTAAGGTTGAATAATTCAGTAATTTAAGAACAGAAAAATCTGTAATCATTTATTACATAATTATTATATGGTTGATGATAAATTTCATTTATAATTCAACTTTTTTTGTCAATTTATATATCATAATATCATATGCTGAAATAGTCCGAATGACTTATTTTAATTTCAAATAATGGATAAAGTAATACTATACTTAAAAAAAAGGTAAATAAAAAAAATAAAAATAATAAAAGATATATAAAAATAAAATAAAAATGATAAAACGATCACATCGTCAAAGTATTGCATTTTGACGGTTATCTAAATAACAAATTGATAGTTAATAATTTAATAATTGATTAACGTGACAATTCAATGACACGGTATTTTAGTACTTGTACAAGAGTACCAATAATGATTGCAATATTTTGTTTTAAATATAATATACCACTCTTAAAATATAATCAAATCGCTGCCACGAGCAGCAATTCCGAGGCACTACGAACAGACCACAGTTAATATGGTCATACAATTATCATCTCCAATCTCAATTCTAAATTATAGGACTATATAAAATACGTAAAACATAATTTCAATTAATATAACGTTACTTATTCTTGCTTATAAATTTAGAATAATCTTAATATAATAATAATAATAAAAATAATAATTATTATTATAATGTACAATGATAAGAGAGATCACACGTCTTAATATAGTAATTTAAAAGACTATTTTTAGTACATAAAAACTTTTTTTAAATTTAAAAAATTTTTAAGTATTGCCACGAAATGTACGAGTGATGATGATAATAATATAATCTGATGAACAAACAGCAAAATGGTTTTCGAGTTGAGCCACGCCGTTTTACTGTATCTATTTATATATGTAATATATATATATATATATGAATATATACAATTTCGTATATATGTAAATATATATATATTAAAACTTATACACGATTTAATCCCTATAACATCTCAGACTTCATTCCCTCTTCTTTCTCTTCTTTTTTTTGCTTACCTAATTATCAGCACCAATCTCATTTAAAACCAATCAAAATATCATATCACCCTATAGATATAGAATTATACCTGATGGATGTAAATATACATTCAAATATGTAATAGTATACAAAAGTCATACCTTTCTTCGTACATTGTATCACCGTCAATCTGTTGTGACGTGTAATCTTCGTATTCCGTAGCATACAGTGTGGGTATCCGTCCGCCTATACGTTTGTTTGTTTATTTTTTTATGTTTTTCATATATCTACGTCTTTCACGTGCGTTTTTTTCTATCTCACACTCTCTACTTTTGTTCGCACATTCTTTCGCAACTGCTTTCATGACCACTCCCTTCACTTGCTTTCATCTCTTTCGCTTCTTGCATCCGTTTTCTCGCACTCGCGGCCATCTTCCATCTTCACCGACGCTCTCACGTTCTCGCTTTCGCTACCACTCTCTCATTCTCACCCCAATTTTTTCTTATTCTCCTCCACCTTTCACCATTAATTATTCACGTTTTACATATTTACAGACGTCCTTCTTGGCATCTTTCTTCTTTTGCAAGATTCACATACTCAACTTGACTTCTCAATTCTTTAAAACATAGGCAAGTTAAATATTGTATCACAATCGTTTCAGTCTGGTCGAAATCGAACATTTTCAACATTATTTTTTTCCATAACTGTATTAACTATACATATAGAGCGGAAGTAACAGGAACCCAATTGTGGGTTTTAAAAAATTAATCCTGTTTTTTTTAATTTTCTTTTAAAAATGTTATTCATCCCTTTAAACTATACCGATGGTTGCAAGTGATGCGTTACTTGGTAACATTTCATCAAAAACACGCATTTGATATTCACAACGCGGTTGCTATTATTAAAAAATTTCTTCTTAATAACGTCTAACAATCCAAAAGGAAAAAATATATAATAGTTAATATTAAAGATAAAGTGAAAAAACAAACCAGAAAACTTATCAACGACGAAATGCTAGTAAATGCACGATAATTGTCACGGGTAATGTTGTTGTAGTGGCTGGCACAGATGCGACGATGTATTAGAAGCTCCAGTTCCAATGGTTGGTGTAAAACAACGCTGAAATTTCAGCGGAATTCCTGCTTGCTAATAAGCTGCAGGATGGACGGTTAGTCACTGCGGTGGTAGAGCCGACGGCGGCTTAAATTCTCCAGTTACGGCAACTCCGTTGGTTTGACCAGGGAATTGAGATGATGACACTGGTGGTTGATGATTAAACGCAGGTGCGTAACACTGAGGGAAATATAACTCGGGCTTAACAACCGTTGGCGTGAGCCCACGAGGTACTGGTACTGGACCAAGTGCTGTTGGTGTTCCAGGTGTTTTTGCATCACCAGTTGAATTTCTACGTACTTTACTTGCATGTGGATTCATATGGTTGTCGATATGTTTCTTCACTTCTGGTTCAGTAGCAAAACGTCTACGACAGTTCGGCATGGGACAACAAAACGGCCGATCACCTTGATGTGTACGTGTATGTTGATCTAAGATTGCTTTTTGTCTAAAATCTTTGCCACATTGCTGGCACTTGTATGGTTTTTCCCCTGTGTGAATACGCAAGTGTTGATTAAGTATAGTTCTTTGTCGAAAATTTCGACCACAATAAACACAACCGTAAGGTTTTTCATTGGTGTGAATACGCAAGTGTTGCGTCAAATGTGATTGTTGTCTAAATCTTTTACCACATTCTGGACAAGGATATGGTCTTGATTCTATGTGTATACAGCCGTGTTGTAAAAGTGTACTTTTTTGTTTAAATTCTTTCTGACATATCGGACATCTTACATAAAGAGGCATGCCTGCTGATCTTCCGTGCTGTATTACATCGGGTAAACAACCTTTACCAGTATTTCCAGCACCATTAGCACCCTGTTGTTTTATGTACTGAAGAGCTCCAAAACTACCAGGACCACCAGCTCCAAAGACAGCGTGATTATTGCCCTTTGGATCTTTGAAATAAGCCGGATACTGGATAGAATTGCCGTCTGGTGATGGACTGAATGCACCTGATTGAGTATCAGTATCGCCAAACGTCGAAGCAACCTCTTCTTTGCCCTCTTCTGGAGGAAATGGTACGTCTTGTGGCCAAAGGGTTGGTGTCATACCATTTTTGAAGATCAAATGTGGACTCACATCTGAAATAAACAATAATCTATTTAAAATTGAAAGAATAATTAATTTATCAATGTAGGATAATGTTTTTAATATTTTTTTTTTCATTCGTGAAATTAGTTGCGAAGGTAAATATTTTTATCATTGAACGCAATTCAATTGGATAAGTATTTACAAGCAAAATGTATATGTATACATATGTAAGAATATTTTTGAATATAAAATGTATAGATAAGTGTGTATAAAAATTCTTAATATATATGTATACATATACAATAAAATCAGCGCGTTTTGGCCAGCAAAATCGATAATAATACTTGGGCAATTAAAAAACGTTCCTACCCATAACGATCGTCAGGAACCAAGTGCGAAAAAAGAAGTGAGAGATAAGCCGTTCCGCAATAAATACTACTACCCTCTTGTTCTTCGCGGAAACGGAAAACGTTCGACCTTGGGGCCGACCTCCGAGAAGGGAGACGACGATAGTGAAACAGAGGAATACGGGTCGAAAGGTAGTTGGCACATTATAGAGAGTGAAGGGATGATGCGTTCCCGGTGGTACTGCGAGTGAAATAGCAATGGTAATATGTAGCATAGTAATAGTAGTAATAGCGACCAGCAGCGATAGTAATAAGCGGTGGATGGGTCAGTGTGGTTGTGGCGGACGCCCTCTGGGAGTCTGGGGAGGCAGAGAGAAATGCTCGCCTTGGTGTGTGCGGACGTGCTGATTCAGGATCGCCTTCTGACGGAAGTGTTTTCCGCACTCCGGACATTGGTATGGCTTCTCACCCGAGTGGATGCGCAGATGCTGGTTGAGGATGGCGCGCTGCCGGAACGTGCGCTCGCAGTAAACGCAAGCGTATGGCTTCTCGTTCGCGTGAATTCGCAGGTGTTGCGTCAGATGCGACTGTTGCCTGAACCGCTTTCCGCACTCTGGACATCCGTACGGCCGACTGTCCGTATGGATCCTCTCGTGTTGAAGCAAAGTCGATTTTTGTTTAAAATCTTTTCCGCACGTTAAGCACTTGAACAATCTAAGATCACTGTTGGCACCCTTTGAGGACTTGCCATTCTGCTGGACAATGTCAGGTAAACCAGTTGCCATATTCGGTGCCCCGGGGCTCGCGTATTGATGTGCCTCTAGACTTGCACCACCATCACCTTGTCCCAAAGACGTCAGCATCACACCCGGTTGTTTCAGGTAGTGTAGCGCTGAAAATCCGCCTGGTGTAAGCATATGAGGAGGCACCGAAGGCGATGGGTGCGGTCGAGTTTCCTTGAAATAATGTTGCGGATATTGCTGAAGTTCACCTGCACCCGGAAAACAGTCATTTCGCTCTACTTCATGAGGTGTCAACTGTTGTTGTGGTGAATGCTCTTGTTGTGCTTGTTGTGGTTGCTGTTGCGGTTGTTGTTGCTGTTGTTGTTGTTGCTGTTGCTGCTGCTGTTGTTGTTGTTGCTGCTGCTGCTGTTGTTGCTGTTGCTGTTGTTGCTGCTGTACTTGTTGTTGAACTTGTTGCTGTTGCTGTTGTTGCTGTGCCGTCGATTGACCTGGTTGTATATCATCTTCAGGTGGTGTTAGTGCTTGAGGTTCAGGTGGTGCTGATGGATATGGCGACGGAACGGGAGATGCTAGTGAAGGCGGTGGTCCCGTTTCACCACCTTCAACTGGTGGACCGCAAGGCTGTTGTGGACTACCTGAAGATGATGATGTCTGTTGTTGTTGTTGCTGTTGTGCATATATTCCACCATCTTGGAGAGAACCGGGCCCCGGAGCCCATTGGCCCTGGGGTCTCTCCATGTTGTCCTTGTACAACACGTATGGCGCGCCAGTATCTGCAATTATTTTGAAGCAAAACACAAAAATTAAATTGACAATTATTATTACATAAATATTATAATGACAATGATGATAATGATGATGATTATTATTATTATTATATTAATAATAGTAATAAGCGAGTAATTAGTAAAAAATTATTTGTACAAAAAATAAAAGTTAATGAAATAATAAATAAATAATTTTAAATGAATCAACAGAGAAAATATCATAAATAAATAGTAAAAAATTAAATAGTAAAACGGAAGAAGGAAAATGCAAAGCAGGACAGGATTGTTAAAATTTCAGTGTATAAAAAATTATTCATAAATCGCGGACGGACTTTGTAAAACACCAAACTCAAGTAGACTACACTACATGAATTCATAAAGACGAACAAAAAGACACATATACATGTATTCTTCTATTTCTTTACTCATAACGTTGTTGTCACTCATCAACCTTGTAAAATAAATTTTTGAAAAATAAAAATTTAGGAAAAATAAATAGTGAAAAAAAAAAAATGAGTAAAATTGAGTAAGGTATTCGTCTAAAGTTTAATGTTTAAGTCGATGTTAAGTTTTTTCTTCCGTTTACAGATGTTTATTAATAAAATGTTTTTATTATTGCAAACGCGAAATTGACGTAGATAAGAAAGAGAAATGTAACCGGCGGGTATTCCCTCACGATACTTGAAGTAATGACGTTTGAACCGGTTCTTCATTAGTAAGTACCTGATATTCTACCAAATACATCGTGGCTGCTATTTCTAGGTATGTCTTCCATTTATCCCGATGAGTCGATGAACCACAGAGGATTATAATACATTGTTTCCTGCAATCACAACTCATCCACTATATTATAACACGAATGTCTTGTTTGCCGTATAAGTATCACATGTGGTAATATAAAATATAAAGGTAACCTTCTCGTGGCCTTTATGACCAACTGTACTCTAATCATAAGTACTTTCCGAGGCAGACGGACATAACACACAGTGTAGTTAAGCTACTCTCCAGACCGTAACACAACCGTTCCTTTCTCCAACCTCCCATTGACGCGTTTGAATGAAATGACAATCGATTGTTATTTTCATAGATCAATCTCAGTGGAAAAGGTATTTACAAGCTCAGCCTATTTAACTACTTTATTCGTGTATATGAACGAATTTATGCACAAAACATTGTACTAGCGACAAAGTTCAACGCACGTAATCTAACATCTTCTCTTTTTATCTACTGCTTTCATTCCTCTCTCCTTCTTTCTCTTTCTCTCTGTCTCTCATTTCTTGTATCTAAATATATAACTTAGAACGATGTATATTTTCGAATGCCACATGGCGAATTACTAAGAGCACTACTACTACAACGAAATACTGTGCCTCCGCACAAAGTTTTCTTTGTTGCACGAATGTACCACTCGTCTCATGTATAATCATTATTTAAATATGTATATAATGCGTTGATATTCTTTTTATTTAATTTTATTTTTATTTAATTAATTAATTAATTATATTTAATATTAATTTTTTACAGGTTATTATTTTAATTATATAATTTTATATATTAATACATATAAATGTGTATATATGTATATCAAAAAATTTGTATATGATGATTGCATGAATTTACATTGATTATAAATAAACACGCGTGTGATTTTGGTTGACCGATGACCCACTATCGTCACGAAAATTTCTCAAGACATAGGTCCGACAATGGTAAGTAATCAGTTAAATAGTTGAGCTTATAATAAAATCATTTAAATTTTCACAATTGTTCACAAACACTATCATGAAATATTATCACGTTAACAGTTAATGATCATGATGGCATGTGCACGACCACGTGGTCCTCCCGTCGACGGTAAAAAAAGCGCGGTTGTCTATTGACGAAACGGATTGCTACAAATAAAATTTATTAAAGGCACGCGGCGATACATATAACGTTCCATCAGTGCGGCAATATAGGCGCCTTATCGTCGCTACGATCTACGAGAATCGGCGACGGTGGCGTTAGTGTAAGACATTATAAGGGAAATGGTAATGGCGGGACAGTTCGAAACAACGCGTAATCAAATGACAGACAAACTTAATCGAAAATAACTAGTAAAGAAGAAGATATAAAAAGGAAAAAGGAAGAGGAAGAATGAAACTTTTCAATTGAGTAATGTATTGATGGGTGTAGGAAGTAATGTACAATTAGTGATTGAAAGAAGTGTTAATAATCAGTGATAATGTCAACAAAAAAGAGAAATAAAAAAAAATAGGAGTGCAAAAAAGACCGGATGTACCTGGTCACGAAAAATTGCATCACACCCACATATAGACACGCATACACAGTCACACGCGACAATGAATACTATCTTGTGATATACTCACCGGAATTGTAATATTCCTTAAAATAACGTGTCGCCGCGCGCTGGACGATCGAGTAATAGAGGTTGACATACGACGTTGACTGATTCTGTGCAGAGAGCGCCATTTACACCGTGTTTGATTCGCAACTGGTATCACGAGCCGAAAAAAATGTCTGGACGACGTTGCGTGCGACGTCTCACGCACGCGGGGTTGGATGGCAAATTGGGAGGAAGAGGCGGGAGGGTAAAAGGAGTCAAGGCGGGAGAGAGACGACGGTAACACGACGCGACGTCGACGACGATCACGACGACGACCACGACGGTCTCTCTTTCTTAAGTTCACGCAACGCGTCGCCTCGGCATGCCGTTTCAAAACTCACGACTTATCTCCGCTCTTTTGGTACCCGTGCCGGTAGACAAACTCGGTAGACTCGGCTGGCCCCCTGAGTACTTGCCAAGACCGAGACGCTCGTCGCGGCGTTGCCGCACTTCCGTCGCCGGCATTCAGTTAGAGTGGGGATATTTCTGGACTGGATTGGGTTTGGTACGTTGGACATGGGATGGAAGCACCGCGCCGCTGCTGCCACCGCCAACGGCTACGCTGCCACGCGAGCGTGAGTGAGATGACGACTAAGAATTTAAGAGAGAAAGAAACAGTTAGAGACGACTGTAGGATGAGGCTATAGCAGGAGGAAAAGAGGAGATGTAGGAGAAAGAAAGACGATGGAGAGGAGGAGCAGCAGGAGTGAGAGGAGAAAAATGGGCGAATGGATAGGGAGACGAAAAGTGATATGAGAGGGCAAAAGAAGGAGAAGCAAGTCGAACGAGTTGTGTTCGTCGGACCAGAGCAGAGTGGAAGGGATTCACACACCAAGTGATTGTATATAGGTATAAATGTATAAGGGTAAGAGAGGGACAATAGGAGAGGAATATTCGAATAGGAGGGAGGCATAGCGTCGCAGAAGGACCTGCAGCGGGGGACAGATGATGGTGTGGATGCTAGTGAGACACTTTACGGGGGATGAAGCGGTAGTCGAAGTGGTTTTAAGCGGGGAATACTGTGAGCTTACGACTCTGCGCGCTAGCAACATACGGTGGGGGATTTTGCGACGGTCGGGAGGGATTTCCCAGTCGCGATGTGCCCCCTCGATGCGCGCTGCGCTGATGCACCGCGACTCTACCCGATTCTACCTACGGAGTCACATGGTACGCTCGTGCCACGAGTACGAAGCCTCTCCCAAATCAATATCACTCGTTTAAAAAAAAAGAAGAGAACAGAAGAAGAAAAAAAATTGCTAGAAAGAACGTACCTGTAATTGTTGGAACCTACGACATGTCCAGAAAAATTTATAATGCATCTAATATGAGCCAAAAAACATTTTTTTTTTTACTGAATTACATTATTAACGTCAATTCACATTAATTATTATTTATTTATTGTATTATAGCATTTTCATCTTTCTTTTTACCAATCTTCTTTTTATATCTACTTTTATTTGATAGTATGTAAATTGTTGGTCCACGTATTTCCCGCCACTTTCTCAGACTAACTTCTATCCCCATCACTGTGTAGGATAAGAGAACGCACGCGGCTTACAGAGTAGCAGTCGTACTGAATATAATACACATGAACGAATCATTCTCATCATCACGCGTTCACATATAGTAGTATACGCACAAGCCGCCGGCTCTCGTCAACCAGGCCACCCCACATGCAATGCAAACTCTCTCTTTCTCTTTTTTTTACATAAATACATTGGCTATCTCACTTGTTTACACAAGTGATTTCATTTTTCTTCTCTCTCAACGAATTACTCTAAATGTGTGCGTGTATGTGTATAGACAAGTATACACGTTGCGTGAATGGTGCTGTTTGTTGCGACCTTGCGGCAAGGTGGAATATACTTTTTTCCATCACTCTAGTGCCCACAGATGCATCGAGATATTCTTCCATCTATGCAGACCACAGGCAAAATTCATTTTGAGACCTCTTTCATAAAATAAAAAATAAAAAAAATATTACATACATTTTTTTCGAGATTTATATGAATTTTATCTAGTGCATTGATAACCTTTCTATCATATTTTATTTATTTTTCTTTATTTATCATTAATATTTTTTTAATATTAAGATTGACGAATATCAAAAAGGAATATAATGGTTTCCAATTATCTCTTAATATGACCTAAATGATTTTAAAATAATACAATTGAGTATCAGAGATTGTTGCAGTTATAAACTGCTGTAACTACTGGTAAAACTAAAATGATATTCATTGTCTCATCATGATTTTGGAAAATGAATATTATATAAAGAACAATTATCAATGGAATATGAAAGATCTGCGAAACATTTTCAAAGTTGCGAAACTATTTTTGGATCGATTGTACGGAGATAATTATGTGTTATATCATTTGGAAAAAGAAATTTACAGCAAGTTAACCACCAGATTGGCAGTAAAGATATAGGAGACAATATGTAACCTTGACGAGTTTATTGGTGAGTGAACTTGGAGTCGAGTGTCGCCTAGACCTCTCAAGTAGTCGAGAGTAAACCGAAGCAGGAGTAGAAGAGCCGGAGGGTAGGAGGAGTCGATGCGCGATGAGTCGCAACGACCACTGCCCTAAATTCAAAACTTGACTTCTCTCAATCGTCGACTGAATCTTCTTGACTTATTTCAAAGTCTCTTTCAATATACAATAGTATCCAGCACCATCGCGATTACATTTCTCTATCTCATTCTTCCTATTATTCTCTCCTTTCTTCGCCAAGTTACTCTCACTCCCTCTCTCAAGGTCGACAGCCCAATGTAAACAAACATAAACAGTTTTATGCCTTTGAAAGTAGACTCATACAACAGAGAATTTTTTTGCCCAATATATAAGATATCGTACATCGAAGAGATGAGTTTAGAGCGCAGCTGCAAGTGCCGGGCACTGATAGGATGGACGCCTGCAACCGGGGTGTAATGGCCTAAACCTAAAATCGATACACTAGCGAAGAAAAACGTCGGCGGATGCCCCGGGAGATAAATGGCCGCTCATTGGAAACCCTTCTACCTCTTCCCCGTCGGATTCGAGCGCGAGACTCGCACCACGCCTCCCTCCCGCCAACCTATCCGGATCTGCCTGGACTAACGCTCTCACCCAAGTCCCGTCCGCGGCTTTACATAATTTTTTTGCTCTCTTTTCTCTACCAGTCCTGCCTTTTTTCGTTCAATTCGTTGGTCCAGGCAAACGTTCAGAGTAACGACGAGAGACTCGTTTATAGATAAAACTCAAAGTGTCAGAGGGAGAGCGAGAAAGAGAGAAAGAGCTCGGAGTTTAAGAGTGTTCAGTTTAAGTTAGAGACTTTTGGTCGTTTTATACATGAGATGTACACGACGACTGATCTATATTTATCTCGACAAATGCAATATTTGGCTACGTACATTCGTCCCATCACCGAGTTGAGCGACTCTCAGCTAAACCCCCATGAACGAAGGAAAGAGGTTGTTCTAAAGCAGGACAGTTGATGCCATGCAAAGAGTACGTGTATATGTATATATACTACTCTTAGTAAGCGCATTACAGGCGTGGTTCCTTGCCCTCTGTCGCGACGTATTTATATCTAACGAGCAGCAACGCGAACGAATGTGCATCGCACGGACTCGTTTGCCGGATCGACTGGACCGCGAAGTCAGAAGAAAAGGAAAGGAGGACAAGAGAGCAAAAGAGTAACAAAGATGAAAAGTTAAAAGGAAAGAGTAAGAGATGTTCCCGCTTTGCTTGTGAGTCTCGCGATCTTCGCCAGCATGCCGGACGCACCCTCGTGTGCTCTCGCTTCGCTCCGTTGAGCGTCTCCTTTTGCACTTTTTTACTTCACGTTTCCTCTTTGCCGCCGATAATTCATGAGCAATGACGCGCGATTCTTGGACTTTCTTTCATCCAAACTATCGCCATTATTTAACCATCATCTATCGCAAAAAAAAAATTACTTTATTACAACAATCACTTTTTCATTAACTTTATTTTTATTTATCGCTTTATTTACTCGATAAAACTTTGACCCAATTTTCAATTATCTGCGCTCGAATAAATAGAAAAATTACCATTGATATGTTGAATAAATAATGCTAACAATATTGTATGTATACGTTAAATTGTTAAACGTATAACATTTATCATCAATTTCTGTCACGAGATTGATTTAATTAAAATAGTTTGCCAAAATACCCCTGTTAAATGATACGATATTTTTGATCACACTTTCCCTTTTTTACTATCAGCGATCCAATGAATTAAGGGTGTAAATGACGGTGGCACACGTTGTGCTCTTTCGTGTGCTTTTCAATGTATTGCCAAATATCAAAAATGACACTTGTTGCGCCGTGTTAAAGTGGACCGAGTGATGATGGTGAACCAAGTGGTTCATGAAAATTGAATTTTCAACTGAATTCATGAGCTTTATATACACATACGTGTGTGTATATCAATTTTATATAACCCTTGCATATCTACCGAGTATCGCGATGACGATGATAAATTGAGTGGAATAAAATTGTGAAGCTTTAAAAAGAATGAAGTAAGAAAGAACAAAAAAAAAATTGAGGGATAAAAAAAAATGGAAAAAAGAAAGAAAAAAAAAGGATGAAGAAAAATAAAAAAAATAAAATAAAATGAGAAATAGGTATAGACGGAAGGAAAAAAAAGTCGAGTAATTCGGTCGATGCGCGGCGTTTTCGCGCGGGCTAAGTTCGTCGCCCTACGATTCATCCCACTCCGTCAGCGGGGAATGTACCCCGCTTCCCTCTGGCCACGAGGGAGCACTCACCCCCGCCTCCGTCGCTACCGTCGTCGTCGCAGCCGTCGCAACCGCCGTCTATGTTCTCCCTCTTTTCTCTTTTCTCTCTTCCTCGTTCATTCGGTCTCTCTACTTCGTCGTATTCTTGGCGTTTTGCGCGATGCAAGGTCAACAAACTTTATTCCGATAAAAAAAAATTGAATAAAAATAAATATAACAGGAATAGAATAAAAAAAAAGTTAAATAAAAGAAATGAAAACTTAGGATTGTGTTTGGAATTGTAACAGTGGTAAAGAAAAGAAAAGATTACATTTTAAAGGGGCACGATTACTCATTTATCTATTTTTTTCCATTTACTTTACAACAAACATCATCATTTATAAGTTTGAAAGACAAATTTACAAGTATTGAAAAATACTCATAATTTTTATTAAATTACAATTAAATCATCTTTATGTTTTAATACTTGACAAGTATTGGTAAGATATTTTTGCATTAAAATTAAAACTTTCTTTAACGTATATTTATACTGCTACTAGTGTATGTAAAAGAAACGTTGACATGTGCACTTTGAAGACTTTTGTGGGTCATTCTAAGTCTCAAGAATGGGTAGGCTAAAATTAATATAAGAGCTACGTCTGTTTCTGATGTTAAAAGTAAATGTTCACGAATTTAGTTGGTCAAAGGTTCTTCCCTTTTTTTCAACTTGTTTATATGTTGAAGCTATCACAGTATTTGTGTATAAATGATATATTAACCACTATCAGTCTAACTAATTTCCTTTTTTTTTTTCCTTCTTGTATGGTATAAAGTCGTTACTCCGATGTTTAATAATTATATTAAATGACTACGTATACATACATGTGTATTCGTACATGTGACATCTCGTCAACATATTTTTTCATTTTTTCAATAACTACACTTGAATTCTAAATTTTCTCTCAACGATGACGTATATCTTGAATCATTATCTCTTTCCTTTTTTCCTTATTCTACCACTTATAACGTCGTTCACAGGAGAAAAGAAAAAATGGTTGAGC